TGAGAATGAATATGTCAATGTGGATGTGACATTATACCTTTGTTTCCTTTCAATATTTAATATTTTCAGGAACTGTGTCCAGTCCTGTTCCTCCTCGTCTCCTTTACTGCTGATCATTGGACCCATTAGTGGAATCATTCTGATTATTTTCCTGCTCTTATTGTGGCGCTACAAGCAGCACAAAGGTTTGATCACATTGTTTATTTAAACCCTTTAATCAAAGGCACACATTTATTCTGTTCTATGTGACAAATGATTTGAACCACAGAATAAGTAACAAGAAATGTCTTTTCCACAGATTTATGCTCTTTCAGGTCAGTCATTACTTTCCTTTCCTTGATAAAGAACACAGATCTCTGTACTTGTTTGCTGTAACTTTTATCTATTTGTGTTTTAGATCAGAAAAAAACAGTCAGAGATCGACCATCAATCAAGGAGCGGAGAATGAGTTCAGTGTCAGTAGCTCTGCTACTCCAGGTCAGAATTTAATCATATTCTTCTCATGCATTTACATCTTTTATTTTTGTCATCAACTCACATATTTATTCAGTATGTTTAATATTTGCATGTTTATGATCGTAATTAAAATAGGCCACCATAAAACTGATCTGTTATGACACAATAAACTTACCAAGAATGAAATGTGAGATTCAGTTGAAATATATAAAAAAAGATTTCAGATAAACAAGCAAGATATTTTTGTCTTGAATAATTTCACTTTCTAACTGTATGACTTTAATGCTGATGGCCTATTAGACTACTGTTCAAAGAAAATAAATGAAAATCCCAAAACATACAACCAATTACAGAGCATCCGATAAGTATTCACATCTATGCACTTTGTCGGCCTTTTATATCACAGCTTTGTGCTGTGAAAATTTAATTAATCTCTTTCCTCAAAATTCTCCACACAAATACCCAACAATAATAATGTGGAAAATGTTAGATTTTTCCAAATGTATTAAAAATAGGAAACTAAGAAATCACATTTACATACATATTTCCAGCATTTCATCAATGTTGGATGCACTTTAAAACACTTTTGTCTCAAAGTTTTTAAAAACCAGCTGTTCTTTGTAACATTGTTATTATATAACTATTAACCTGGTGCTGCTCTCTGTGGATCCGTCTGTGAAGCCACTGCAGCTGGTGAAGTATTTCTGTTTAAAGCAGATGAACACACAACTGGAGCGCTTAAGAAAACAAGCCGATCTAAAATTGTGAAACATTTTTGCTGCAGCTGAACCCAGTGAAGTAACGTACACCGCCATTAAATTCAAAAAGCTCCGAAAAAAGAGTGAGTTCAAAATTACAAACCTTTTACTGCACAAGGATAACTGAATGATTTCTAACTGTGTGTCTTTGTTTTGTCGATCTCAACAGGAAAACCCCGTAAACCTGAGGAGCCCGTTATTTACGCAGAAGTGAACACAAGTGCTGCAGGTAAAGTCAGTCGGACTTTATATCAAAATGTGTCTTCGTGTCAATACCCTGCAGGTTCAGATCATCTAACATAATTCTACAAGTATATGTAAAAAATGTCAAAAGAGAAAGAATCAAATATATAGCTATATATATATATATATATATATATATATATATATATATATATATATATATATATATATATATATATATATATATATATATATATATATATATATATTTTAAAATCTAACATATCTAGTATAATTTACCAGAATCATAAATTAATCTTCAATTACATACAAACTATAGGACAATAGCAATAAAAATGCTGAGTGCTGTTTGGCTCATTTTGATTCTGATTAATCTAAAATACTGTGCAGCACTTCTAATATTTTCCAAGAGATCCTAATGTTTACTGTCTGATCACAGAGTTATGATAAACTAAAAAGGCATCAGTCAGGAGAAGGGAAAAAAACCCTCAGTATTTTTATGTCTTAAATAGCAAAAGAAAAAAAAAGTGACATTACAAAAGCTGCAAATGTCTTAAATATAAATGAGCAGACATTACTAATACTAATACATTTATGTTATTGTTTTTGCAGCTTCAAATCTTCCTGTTGACCAATTTCTTTTGCAGTTTAGTATGCAGGAAATGATTCTTGAAATGATTTGTTTATTATGACTTCATCATCATCAAAAATAATGAACATATCTATCTGTAACATTGACTGCAAACTCTCTCTTGACATCAGCAGAAACAGAGGGACTGAACACTTTTACAGATTGTGTGTTTCATTAAAACATTTGTTGCATGTTAATTTTGCAGTGTAGCAAGTGTTTTTAAATATATTACCCCTCCCCATGTAGCCACACAGCTGCAAATTTGTGAAAAGAAAATTTTCCTTCCCCTTTGTGAAGTTTTAGCTTCCTCAAGATGACACAGTGTTGGATGTTTCCTTTGTCAAATGCAGTCTGTTATTGAAATGGAAAAACAAACTGTCTCTCTTGAATTTGGTTTCAGCTTTTCAGAATCGGACATAAATTTACTGTGGTTTTTTGGTACACAATATAGTGTAAACCATTCCTGTGTTTGATTAAATGAGTTTCCTGTTTCAGAACTCGCTCCAACGTACGCTGAAATCAATAAGAACAGAGCCAAGCGAAACAGGAGAGGTAACACTCAGTTTGCACTCAGTTTCTCATATGCAACATATTTAATAAAATCATTTTAGATTGTAAATTGATGAGATATTTTCACCATAATTCCCAGTTCTAGTAATCCTTTTTAGCATTTTGGATGTATGACTTTGCAGATTTTCCTCTATGCAATACTTTTTAACTAATGGCGTAAGCTTTGTGTGTGGACAGTGTTAGGATCAGCATAACACTGGGAATTAAATTCCTGCTTGTTGATTTTGTTATTATTAATGCTAATTATCTTCATTCACAGAAAAACCTGCAGCAACAGATGAATCAGTTTATTCTGAAATCAAATCAGGGGCAACTCTGGAAGGTGAATCTGCCTTTTAGCACACCATGCAAACTTAGATGTTTGTGTACATGCTTATCTATTTTGGTACTTTTAAATATAACTAATATATGTCTCTGATCCAAAATGCTGTGAAAGTGTGAAATATATAATCATCTATTTTTCTCTGTTACATAATTAAACATATTTAGTTGTATTAAGTGATACTGTAAGGGAATTCGTATTAAAATCTCTGTCTTTTGGAAATAAACTATAGTATTGTATTATATTACAGTCTAAGCACTGTGGACTTTTTCATGATGTTTCTATGTGCTCTTAATGTCATGTTTATTGTTTCCTATTTCTACAATGCTGCAGACAAAAGATGGGAACAATTGGCTGAAGTTAATGGATGAAAAATAAATGATGTTTCTCCTTAGATTGAGCATTAAAAAGCTAAGCTTTCTTTATTTTATTTCATTTTGTACAAACTTGTTACATTTAATAAATATGTCACATTTCAATGTGTATTTTGTGTTTCATTTGTTCATAAAAAAGAAAACACCAAACACCATTTTGAGGGTTCTGGCAGTATAGCCCGTTTCAGCACTGGACAGCTCCCAGAATGCAACACAGCTGTGACGACAGAGCAATGTCGCGGCTCGTGCTCGCGCATCTCTGAATTTCTATCACTGCGCGGGTCGCGCGCGCTGGCTGTCACTCAAACTGGACGAGTTGGAAAGTGATGTTGCAGAGGAGGTTCCCCTGCTCTGGTATTAACGTGATACAGACGCACTTTATCAGAATACGGAGGAACGGGAACCAACGTAAGCGTCAATTCTAAACGTCACGCTGCTCGTTCGGCTCGCGCGCTCAACTCAAAGCTTTCGAGAGGAAGAAACTCTGAAAGGTATTATCAGACATTATTGGTTTCTGTCAAAGACCTCTTTAAACTTCGCCCTCATTCTTTCTGACCCTCTATATTGTTGAAGTGACTTCAATAATGACGGATGTTTCACCTAAAGCCCCGCTTATAAATCCATCAAATTCAAGTCTCCTTCATTGCTCTGTTTGTCACCATAACGAGACATACACAATTCATTTGTGTATGTATATATTCATATATTTATATATGTATATATACACATATTTATTTATGTATGTATATATACATATATTTACATATGTATGTATATATACATAAATATGTATATATACACAGATTTATGTATGTATGTATATATATATATATATATATATATATATATATATATATATATATATATATATATACATTTACATATGTATATATACACATATTAATTTATATCTGTATATATACATTTATTTATAGATGAATGTATATATACACATATTTTTATGTATGTATATATAGATATATTTATATATAGACTGTAATTATGAACTCCAAATATTATATTTAGAATTTATTATACATCCTGCCTAAAAGTGTTTTCCTATCATTTGTTCTGTATTTGAGCTGCTTGATGGTAGCAGCCCAGACTCAGCATGGAGGGGATAATTAGGAGAGTGGGTATGTAGATTCTGCAAAGAGTAGACGCCTCACAAAATATGCATAGAGAAGCTCAATTTGATTCCAACTGTATCTGGAAATTCCAGTTCTGCAAACAATTCCAGGTATGAGCTGCAGTGTCTTTAAATGGCACATATGTTTCTCAAATATGAACCATTTAACAGTTTTTGAAACCAATGAGCCCTTTCTTTAAGACATCCTTTATATTGGCCAATTTACCAGACTTTAGTGGGGGACCGGAGCACCCGGAAAAAACCCACAATCACTAAGAAACAACCTACAACCACAAATAGAAAGAGGCGCCCAGTCAAAAACTGAGACATCTCTTCTGTGTGGCTGTGGCTAAGCTACGTGGAATATTACTGTTTTTATTGTGCAATATTTGGACATTTTTGAAAGGGTTCTAATTTCTTGTTTTAGTGGCCTCCTTGCATTTGTCTCATTTTGCAGATTCCTGAGATCCAGATAGAGCAGCATCTTCTCCAGACTTGTTGAGGGGCCTCTCGCCTCCGCGGCTCAGGATCTGAGCTTTCAGTTTTCTCGCCTCTTTCACATAAAGAAGTTTCTGACGTCCATGTGATTTTGATATAGAATGGCTGAATCTGTCAGCATCTCCTCTACAAAGTCATTTAGCTCCTCTGGAGATGCATCAGGTACTTCCATTTCTTCTGACAGCATCTCCTCTATGAGACTGTCCAGATCCATATCATCAGTGACGTTGTTTTCAGGCACACTGTCGTCAAGTCTGGCCACTTTTCTTATCGGAGGTCCGACTTCCTCGGTGTTTTGCAGCGTCGTCTCCAGATTTTCCAACCTTCTTTTGTAGCTCACCTTCTTGATAGAGTGCATCTGCCGGAATGCCATGAGTTGTTTTTGGAGCTGGTCTTTCTCGGACTCCAGTTCATCAATAATCTTTAGGTCCCTCATCAATTTGTAGGAAAGAGCATTTACCTCCTTATCGACGTACTGCTTAAATATCTGTGCCTGCTCTCTTAGAGCAGAAACGTCCCTTTCATATGTAGCCATAAGTTTCTGGTGAGAATCTTTAGTCTGTTCCAGTTCACTTCGGAGAAGACTCTCTGTTTCTCTAAAGTTGTCTATCTCCTGGGACATTTGTCGTTGCAGGTCCTCCTTCTCGGCTCTCAGCTTTTCAAAGCGCTTTTCGTTCTGCTCGAGTTTCTCCTCGTAAAACATCTTAGATTCGACCTGGAGCTTCTCCTCACGATCGTCGGCTTCATATTTTGATTTAAGCTCCTCGTATCGCGTCTTCATTTCTTCCAGCTCTTTGTGGAGGGCGTCACCTCTTTCTTTTTCTGCCTTGATTTCTGAGGTGAACGCTTCCTCGTTGACAATGCAAGACACCTTCAGCTGCTCCAGGTCCTCTTGCAGCAGCCTTTTCCTCTTGTGTCTTACTTCGTTGTGGAGAGTGGAAGCGATGGCGACAGGGTCGAGAGCCTCAGAATCGGCAAACTTCTCTACTGCCAGCAGTGTTCTCTTCATTTCTTTGCCCCTGTTGATAAAAACCTTCTTGAGATTTCTCTGCTTTTCCAGCTCAGCTTTGGTGTCTTTCAGCTCTTTCTCCAGAATGAGCACCTTTTGGTTCTCTTGAAACCACTTGGCTCGCTCCATTTCCAAGAGAGAGCCAAGTCTCTGGAGTTCTCTGGAGCTCAGCGGGAGACGCTCTGTTCTCACTCCATCCTTGTTGTTGTTGTCCACCTCTCCACGCCCTCGGCTGGGATCTGAACCCTCCTTTGGGATGCTGTGGCCTTTGATACGGCATATCTCGATCTGCAAACAATGTCAACCTCGACTTTATTGGCGCTTTGCGTACGTCTGAACTGGTCATCGTGTAGCTAGCAATGAGCAGAAGGTGGAAGTTTGCTACATAAGAGAACAGAGATGATGACATCACAAGCATGACTAGTTGTGACATCATACAAAGTGTTGACCATGGAGATCTCTGCCGCACTAATCAGCAGCCCCTCACCTTCCTTCCTGTATCAGATGGGGATGCGCTGTTGACGTGGCTGTCGTTTATTTTTCCTGTCGGTTTTTGTTCATGTTGGTTTTTCTTTCTTTTGGTTGCTTTTTGGGACACGTTACATGAGTCATCAAAATGTCAGACAGCAACACTGTTTTCAGTCACAGTCTTCTTCAGATTCACTGGAAGATTGAACACTGGAGATCCTTCCTGCCATCCACCAACAAACCTTGAACATTCTTGGATGAGATATTCAAGGGTTATTGCATCAAACCAGAGATTAGGAGCTAGAACTTTAGATTTGGTGAATATATAATGTTAAGAAAGAAAGTCGGTTTCCTGGTTCTGCAGGAGAGATGAGAGAGGATGATAAATCACTGAATAGTCCGGAAAAATGTTTATATATATATATATCTGTACGTATATAAATACATTTATATATGTATATAAACATATATATGTATACATACATATATTTATGTATGTATGTATTGTTGTTGTCAAAAGTTTACATACACTTGTAAAAAACATAATGTCATGGCTGTCTTGAGTTCCCAATAAGTTCTACAACTTTTCCTTTTCTGTGATAGAGTGATCGAGACACATACATGTTTGGCACAAAAAACAGTCATAAAGTTTGGTTCTTTCATAAATTTATTATGGGTCTGCTGAAAATGTCACCAAATCTGCTAGATCAAAAATATACATACAGCAACATAAATGGTAAATTTTGGTGATGTAGAGAGTTTTGTCAATCAAATTAGCTTCATGTCATGGTCTCTTCACTTCTTGTAAGTGATTCTGATTGACTACAGTTGTTTACTGTTCTTGAGCCCATTGAAATAGGGCTCATTTGACCCTGTGATTAGACTCAGCCTCAAAAGCTACAATGGGAAAGTCAAAGGAACTCAGTGTGGATCTGAAAAAGCGAATTATTGACTTGAACAAGTCAGGGAAGTCACTTGGAGCCATTTCAAAACTGCTACAGGTCCCAGAGCAACTGTGCAGACAATTATTCGCAAGTATAAAGTGCATGGAACAGTTGTGTCACTGCCACGATCAGGAAGAAAATGCAAGCTATCACATGCTGCCGAGAGGAGATTGGTCAGGATGGTCAAGAGCCATGGACTGAGAGGCTGCTGTGCAAGAAAGAAGCACTTGCTCCAGAAAAGGCACCTTAAGACTCGGCTGAAGTTTGCTGCTGATCACATGGACGAAGATAAAACCTTCTGGAGGAAAGTTCTGTGGTCAGACAAAACAAAAATCGAGCTGTTTGGCCACAACACCCAGCAATATGTTTGGAGGAGAAAAGGCGAGGCCTTTAAAAGTGTAAGTGAAAAAGGTGTATGGTAAAGAGCTATTTAGTAGGTGAAAAATGTGAGTGCCAACCAAAACAGAGACTTTTATAATGTTTTAGCTTTAACTTTTAAATTTGAGCTTTAACCACAGAAAGATACATAATTTTTTAAAGTTTAATTAGTAATAGTTTTATAACAAATTGGTCAGATCATGATTTCTTAGTTAATGTCAAGTTGTCACAGCGAAGAAATATTGAATAATGTCAACTTTGTATTGAAAGTGTCATGATTTACCGAATGACACTTTATGACAAAAGTCATAAATTCACAAAGACTTACTTCATATTTGTGACTGGCGTTATATCATGTTTATGACGGTGTCTTATTCACAACTCGTCAAATAAGTTAAATTCTTTCTCTTAAACTAATACATTATGTTGTTTATGTGAACAGTTCTCAATCGAGCCACTGTGACCCTGAACCCAAACTGGCCTCTGATATACAAAGGTGAGAAAGTTATTCTCCAGTGTGAGATCCCAGGAGGAGAAGGAAGAAAGTGGACCTTTGAATGGAGACCAACCAGGTTAAATGAACCTCAAACATCCCAGGAATACATTATCATAACTTCAGCCAAAGAGTCTGATAGTGGATAATACAGCTGCAGAGGAACAAGTGGAGATGAATCAACAGACTGGAGCGATGTGGTCGTATTAACTGTGTGTAAGTTGGTCATAAATCATAAAATAAATATTTAATGTGTTTGGTATGAGTAAGCTGAGTGTGTTTTTCTGAACCTATGTTTACATAGCAGTTGTTATCAGTGTTAATATTTTAGATATTTCAGCCACTAATTGGTCTCATCCTTTTTCCAACGTTGTTCTTCATTAATTGTACAAATGGACGAAATTACAATTTAATGTATGTCTTGAGTTCAGCACAAAAGTTTGATTTAACTCAAGTCTGTCTTAGTTTTAAAGGTATATCGCTATTGATAGTTGTGCAAGAGTAGATCATTAAAATAGGATGTAAGAGTATACAAACTAACATTTCTCTCTCAGTTCATTCTAAGGCGAGAAAATGAAATAACCATTTAAGAGTGTTTTTTAAAAATGTAGTTAGGAAGCATTACAATCTTTTTTGATATGCTACAACTCGAAAATGTTCTAGTTTGTCAAACTATATATATTTTTAAATTGAAGCCTTTGGGTAACATAGAAATATTATAACACTTGACTGTTTGAAAAGTAACAGTGTTGAAAACATCAATGTGACTCTCCAACAGATGAACTCTCTGTGTCTCCATCATGGCTGAGTCCTGGAGCCTCAGTGACTCTGAGCTGTCAGGTTGAACCTTCACCTTCAGGAACCAGGTTCTTCTGGTATAAAGCTGTTCCTGATCCAACAAGGAGATCCTACAGCTATGAGCTGCTGCCTGGCAGCTCTGATGGGACTGATGAGAATTTCTACATTGTTCATGGACTCAATAATACAGCAGGTTATGTGTGTGAAGCAGGACGTGGAAAACCAAACTACAGAAATCCAAGTTTTGTCTTTTCAGTAGGTCAGTTTGTTTCGATGTGTCTCCTTTCAATGAGCAAGTAATGATCTGTTTACATTGTTCCTATTCAGCCATGCACTTTATCTTTAGCAGTAAATTAATTACATTGATTTATCATCAAAGTAAAGAAGAAATGTCAAAGTTTTTATCTTGATTTTCATACAGTGTTGAATTTTAAATCCAAAGCAGCAATAAAACATAAAATGAAAAAGTGAAAAGTAAAGTTTTGGTGCTTTTGACAAAAACAGGCCACCTCCAAAATCAGTCATAAACCGCAGTTTGTGTCTTTTGAGACAAGTTTTTGTTGAAGACATTTATATGATGAGTTTTTATCTATGATAAGATTAATATTTGACTTAAGACATTAAATATGTTTTCAGCTTTATTCAGTATTTTTGTAAGTGGAGTTATTTTATTGTGCTATAAAATGGCACTATCTGTCTGGAAAACATAAAACTGCCCCTTTAAAAATGTCCCACCCTTACGCCATCAGTCCACAAAATGTTCCAATTTAGACGAATTTAGTAATTTGTAGCATCGGGGCATCATATGAACTACAAGCACAAACTTTAGAACTGGACGTCACTTATATGAACGAGGCAACACAGTTATGATTGCAGATCTTTGACTTTATTCCACCAACAGTGACAACCAAAGACACATTTATCATGTGGTATGTCTAAAGCACCGAAACTAGACATCTGAAAAAAATTATTTTCTGAAAACTAAACAAATTATCTTTCAGTATCAAGATTTGGACTTAACCTCTGAAATTACAGCAGGTGATATCCAATTCTACAGACTCCAAAAGGGACACAGTTGGTTAAATAATCAACACAAACATATTAAAGCCCTGGTACTAGCATGTTTCCTAACTGATTCAAATGAACATCAATAAGACTGATCTATTAATTCATCTTTGGCAATAAAATTGGTTCTGAATCATCAGTTTTTTGCTTCACAAGCTTTTAAGCACACAGCCACACCACAACCTGCTGGCCATTAGCAACGCCGTGACTGCTGTTGTTTTTCTGGCATCAAAGCCACATCAGGCTAACAGCACGATGCTATCATTAAACAACAATTTAGTTTCACATAAGTCACAGTTTTAGGCCTGCTGTGAAGGCCACAAAACTTTTCATAATGACGCGTAGAGGAACGATGTCAGACACGTACAGAACAAATGAATCGTGACTTTGCAGAGCTCCCTATCAGAGCTAACAGCAACACCTTCTCTATGTGGTCAGTAAATGTGCTCAGCTCTAAATGAATAACAAGCAATACTTGTGAGAGTGTGGAAAGTAGCGCAACAATAGTGGTATTACTGTGGTTAGTGTAGTTGCCATGTGCATCAACTTGTCTAGCTACTTTGTAGCATCATGTTTAGTTGTAGTTACACCTGCAGATCTTTTACAAAAAGTCTCCATGAGCGTCACAAACTTGGTTTTTAAAGCATTCCTTGTAAAAGAGTGGATGACTGATGCTAAAACAATGCAGTACAAGGATATAATATTGTATTTATAAACACATTTTAAAAGAACAAGCTCTCTAATAATTTTTGCACCACAATTTCATGCATATGCAGAAATCCACATCACCTATTTACATCTGTGCAATTTTGGTTGAGTGTTTTTTAAAGGCCAAGTGCAGATCTTTGCACATGAAACAAGTGAACATGCAGCGGACAGGAAGCATAACGGCTTCTAATAACTGCTGCCACCAAAGCGGGGAGGAAACCGACAGTCTACACATAGGTAGTCAGGTAGAACCTCGCATTTGATCTGCATGTGAGGATGGGGAACGAGCTGCTGCTGAGGCTGAACTTCTTCAGTAAGTAAATGACTGAATCTCTATTGGCATTTTATATAAAAGTGTAAAACTGGTTGAAAATGTTCATCTGGCACTTAAAGTGACATTTTAATTACCCAGTTAGGTAATGTGAGTTAATAAAAAAGCTATTTTCATGTGAAAATACAAATGTTTAATGTAATATCACTAATTGTGTCAGTTTGATAGAAATGTGTCTCCTAAAGAAGTTTATCTTTGTTTCAGTGCTCTGTGTGATCTTTTATGGAAACACTGAAGGTGAGAAATATATTTCATTTTTCTTATTTATTTTCTGTAATGTATTGATGTTATTTTTATCAGATTTTTCATTTTAATACAGCTAGTATGATGTTTTGTCTAGCGTTGCAGCCATTTTAAGTATAAGTACAAATTTATAGGCAAGTGAAACTAAACTAACAACCAGTGACTAGATGTTTTTTTATAGTTTGACCTTTCCCTTCTGGCTGTCAGCTAAAACCCAATGTACCGACCACAACCACCACAGGATCTCACCAGCACCTAAAACAGGATGCATCGTTTTTAACCACTTAAGTTTCATGCTCTGACTAAAAGAACAAAGTTGAATTAACCAGTTACTGAACTAACTGGTGACTAAACTAACCAGTTACTGAACTAACTGGTGACTAAACTAACCAGTCTATAAGACATTTGTGTGAATTTGACAACACGACCATATAACCATACATTAGTCTGCTGATAATTATGTATTAATATACCTGACAATAGTTCAGTTGTGACTGACAGTTTCATACATCTGTTCCACAATTTACCTTCAGCTGCAGTCTTGAAGGTATCCTCATATGCTATACTGTTCGGCCCAGCTATAATTAAGATAATTAAGTTCCAGTTGCTAACCTGAAAATGGCTGGCACATCTAAAGAGCAGGATATACTCCACAATTAAAAAAATTACAACAAAAAAATGCATATCTTTTGTACTTTGGGCAAAATACTCGCGTTGGGTTTCAATCATCTGGAATGTCCAATTAGAAAAAGAGGACCAACAGCTTCCTGGTCTAAAATGAAGCCTAGGCGTAAATTCAAGCTGGGAGACAGAACACAGCCGATCCCCATCACTCAACACACGCTGCAGCCAACCAGGATCGGCGCCACACCACCCAATCATCGTTAAGCCGGTCTCTTTAAGGAGCCTAGCCACCGGGTGTCTGCCTGCTCGTCAGCCGTGCTTCATCCCGCCTCCTCCCCATCTCCACCTTCAGCCCGACGAACATCCTCCAGGCCCACTCTTCGTTTCTCCTCCAAGGCTCCGCTCCATCACCAGGATTCGGACCGGGGGCAAAGACTAGTGAGCTTCGCCGGACTCATCATCTACCCTCAGTGATCCTCAGCTCACTAGTCTTCTGCCGGGTTAGAGCGCCAAAGAATTTGTTCATTAAAATCTTCTAACTGCTTCTTTTCTCTGTGTGAGTCGATACAGATTGAATTACTCTCCTTTTGTTCTGCAAAAATACTGATCAGGGGCGTGCTGTGGTGGCGTAGGGGTTTAGCACAACCCACATATGGAGGCCTTAGTCCTTGACGCAGCCGTTGTGGGTTCGACATTTGCCACATGTATTGCCCTCTTTCTGTGTCACCTCTTTCCTGTCAGCCTACTTTAAAATAATAATAATAAAAAAGATACGAGCCACAAGAGCCAACAAAAATCCTCAGAGAAATAAACGAAACAAAACATGGCTGATCAAACTGTTAGTCAGAATTGATGCAACTGTTTGGTTCACAAATGAAGTTTTGAGACAGGAAAGCAGAACATCCTGTAATAATGTTCAATAATAACTCCACATAGTGACCCCAGAGAAACATTTATAAATTCTCAACTTTTACTTTTTTCCCAATACAAAAAACTATGATGTGACTCTAATTTTTTAATCATTACTAAGTTATTATCATTATGATAGTTTCTGAGCTCTCAGGGGTTTCTCTGACAGCTCACCAACGGCGATGTCTTTTCCTATGACACTTCAAAAAACAGTATTTATATGACTGAAACTCCATTTCAGGACGCCTTAAAATGAAATGTTTCTGTTCATGTTATAAATTTTAATTGAGACATTTTGAGTTTTCAATCATCTTCGATATCTTCAATTTCATGTTTAAACCATTTTTGCTGCATATTTCCATTTCTAATACTGAAGGTTTGATCAACTGGATTTTGAAGTGACTTAGAGTTCATGTGCTCGTCTTTGTGTTACTTGATTTTAATCCAGATGTACGTTAGCTAAGATAAATTAGTGTTTAGTGCAAAGTTAATTTGGAAAAAGATGCTGTGGGAAAAATAAGTCTAAATTTTTGAGATTTTGTCATCTGAAGCAATAGAAAAACAATCAGTTAGCTGTTAAAAATATATTTCCTGTCTTTACCTGCATATCACACATGCAAACAACCAAAAGAATATTTCTGTCTGTTTTCCGGATGAAAACTGTTTTGTTTTTGTTGAATAGTTTCCAAGCCGACTGCGATCCTTCAACCCAGTGGGTCTGTTGTATATAGTGGAGAGAAAGTCACTCTGAGATGTGAGATCAAGGAAGGAGGAAGAACTCAGTGGACATATGAATGGAGAACAAACAATAGAAACATTCAAATAAGATCCAGTGAATACAGCATCAATAAAGTCTATGAATCTCACAGTGGAGTTTACAGCTGTATGGCTACAGGAGATCATCAACAAACAGAATGGAGTGATGGCGTCACACTGACAGTGAAATGTGAGTCTGATTTAGAAACTTTATATTGTTTGGATTTAATATAAAACCAGGTTTTCTGTTATTTCTGACTACAAGCAAAATAAAAGCAAGAGACTTTCTATTAGATAAATAAAAACAGCTACATGTCACTGAAGTAAATTTGAACTTAACATATTCAACTTTTTAAGATGATTAAGTTTAGTAAACTTGTCATGAATTAATTCATAGTTTGATTATTGAGTCACTTTTATTTTTCTTTAATCCAACAGCATATAAACCCAGAGTCACACTGACAGCAGACAGAACATTCATACCACTAGAGGGCAGCACAACACTGACCTGCTCTGTGGACGGATCTGATGACTGGAAGTTTGATTGGTTCAGAAATGATCAACAATATTCTGCAGCGAGAGGAAACTGGGATCCAAACAGAGTTATCTCTGTCTCAGAGGGAGGAGTACAGCTGCAGAGGAGGAAGAAAATATTCAAGTTTTCAAACTGAAAAAAGTGATAAAATCTCTGTTGTGAAGATTGGTTTTTGTTAATGTTGTTGTGTTTTTGTTAATGTTGTGTTTTTGTTAATGTTGTAGTGTTTTGCACCTCAGGGCCATCGTAACAATTGGTTAAACAGTCAATTTAATATACATTAAATTAAACAATACATTGTTCTATCCACTGTTAAATATATATAAAAAAGGCTGTGAATTTAATTAAAATAAGTTGCTTTTATAAGTTGTTTTTATTATTTATGTTGCCTTTAATTTAGACCAAAGCGAAATTTAGACCAATGAACCACAAGGGGGCGCCAGATAATCCTTGCAAATACAAGAAAGACGTTCGCTGTGCAAAATCCTCCAGAAAAGATCAGCATCCATGAATAAATGACAAAATACACATACAGATTACACTTATGCAAAAATAATGACTCAATACCTAAATAAGTCACTATTAGGTTTATTATTAGGTCAATTGTGAACATTTAGTTTATGTTTTGAATGTAAAAATCGATTTTTGTTATTATTATTAATAATAGAATTGTAACATTATGAACCACCAGGGGGCTGGATATCACATATATGAGAAATAGAAAAACAGTTTTTATTGTCAAGCAAAGTGGGACATTCAGGTGTAACAGATATAAATGTTCACACAAAAACTTCTTGAAGCGTTAAAACAATATATTAAAAAACAAGATGAACAAAAATAGTAATAATAATGAAATACAGTAAAGACAGAGTGGATGGTAGAAATGCAAGTTTTCATGCAAAGACATTGATGTTGTTGGAAGCAATGATGGTTATAAAGTTTAAAAGCTTCTGAGAGGAAGGATCTGCGATTACGCTCCTTTGTGCATTAAGGATGCAGCAGTTTGTCACTGAAGGAGTTCTGCACTCCGGCTGCAGTAATTTCAGGTTTTTAGCTTCACACTCTGGTTTTTGTCCCTGTTGACACACAGACTGGTGCTGCTAACACCTTTTCTTTCTTTATCACTACGCCAATAGCAGACTGGAGCTGGATGGCTGAACAGGTGTTACGACCCGTCTAGGGGTCCAGGTCATAACACGAGTGATCCATCCTCCTCTGATCTCGAGCGGTCAACACAAACAAAATTGACATTTTATAACGTTATTTATTGTAAAAAGATGTATTTTTTGTTGATACTGAAATGTTACAGCCAAGGGAGTAGATGTCTTCAGAGTGAGCCCAATGCCGAAAACAACAAACAAAAGGAACTATCTAAATATTAACGAACTTACCTAAAAAATAGAGAATCCAAATAACAAAAACTTACCTCCCTAACTACGAAAACAGGAAAAACTAATGAAACATAAACGGCAGCTCACTCCTACAAACTCCAGAACGCTACATGATTTTTACAAACAACACAAAAGAGTGCGGCCGGTTGAGATGAGCGGAGGACGGATGACAGGAAGTGCGCGTCTTCAGCTTTTATATCCGTCACCTCCGGGAGACCACCAATAGGACGTCCGTCGTCTTCCGTCAACCAATCAGAGGCAGGCACCTGCACACTCAGATTTGCATAATTACGACGCCAGTCGTGACAACAAGTTTTAGCACAGACGACCCACAACATGGAAGACCTGGACTCAAATCGTGGCCTGGGATTTTTATGCATGGAGTTTCTTCCCATGAATCATGGATTCTCTCCAGGTAATCTGGTTTCCTAAAATAGTTCTAATATGAGTTTTTTTTAATGTCTCTCTCAGAAATGTTGACATCTGTTTAGGGTGAACCTCACCCCTCGCCTCTAGAGATAGACACCAGCGCCCCTTGTGGTGAATGGAAACTTGAACTCTCCAATTCGGCCCAGTTAGTCTTATTCATGATGACTTGATAAGTCATCATTTTATTTTCCTCCATCCTCTCACTGGTCTTCAAAGTAAGGGCGAAGTGTGAAGTGAGGAAACGCGGGATCACTTTCTCTTCACAGTAAACATCCTGAGCATCAGGGTCATGAGTCCATGTGGAGTTCAAAGGTCAGTAACATCCTCTGAACTCAACAGTAGGTGACTCAGAAAAGACATTTGGTCAGCATCGTATCATCAGACACACATGGCCTTTAATAAGCGCAGAGCTGAAAGAAAATGTGAAATTCCAGATATTATTTTTATCAGGCAATTTATTAAAATGTGTATTCTGACTTTTTAGTGCACCTCACATTCAAACAAATGGCTTCCTTGTTGGTCGACATGGACTTGTCTGTGTATTCTCGACATTGATGTCTGCCTCTGATGGTCAGATCCATAATGTGCCTTTTGTTGATTAAGTTTTGGTTTCTGAGAACTTATTAAAGCAATGAACCAACAAAAATAAGGAACATGTTATACAAAGCACAAATATTTCTGGCCATGTATTTGCTGGTGTCAGCACGTCCGTTTATGGAAACGATCTTTTGCTCACTGTTTGAGCTGCAACACCCTCAGCCAACCCAGAATGTATCATCTGTCCTGTTCTGCTGCCTATACAGCTTACCTGCCGTCTGCTGCTCTGCCTCAGTTTTCCAGCCATCTTGTCTCCCAGTGGTTTGCCGACATTCTTGTCATTTGAACTGTTTTTGACTCGGCCTCCATTTCTTTCTTGGGTTGTTTTGCGGTGCTTGACCCCTGTCCTCCCTCTGTCCAGTCTTTTGTGTTCTGGATTTGTCAGCAGGTCTGATTATTTTTTTTCTTTTTTCTTTTTTTTGCGCGGCCATTTAGATCATTGTTTATGTCCTGATTTATTGCGTCTGAATATTTCTGGCGTAGAGTCATGATGCATGTTTGCTATTATTGACACAAGAGTCAGATCGCATTTTAAAGTAACGTCCTCAACAAAACCAGCAAACGACACAAGATATTACAGTAACCTCTTTCCCATTCGCCCTCACATGCTTTCCCTCGACTTTTCCCACATTACATTTAAAAGAAATACCATTACCAAATATTTTCATATAAAGCATTATGTTATAGTTGCACATTTAAATGGTGCTTTTGCTTTGTCATTCTCATGTTTTCTGTATGTTTGCCCACTCAGTTGGGGCTTTCCTGTTCAAAACCAGATTTCCACCACATCCGTAGTGAATCTACTCAAAAAAAAAACAAACAAACAAAAAAAAATGGACACACTGCATTAAATGGAAAAAACCAATTACTACAATGACACCAGAACAGACCTTTGACCCTTCTTTAGACTAAACCTCTGTGTGTGGGGGTGTTCAAGCAGTGGAAAGAGTTTGTGGTCAAAGACAAAAAAATGTCTGTGTAGATGGCCCACCTTTAACAATCTATATTAGAAACACATTCAACCGTTGCTGCATTGGACAGGAAACCTGATTCTAACACATCACTGTGGTCAAAGCTGCACCTGCGTACTTTATGAGTATGTATGAGTAAAAGGGAAGGAAACAGGCATTTAGAGAATTAATTTTTTTTTAGTGCCTTAAACGCGACTTCTCCTTTTGTTTTAACTACTTTAGCGAGAGCAAAGTGCAGCTGCTCCACTCAGCTGTGCAGCAGGTCTGGAAGTGAAGATGGGGGAAACTTTACTCTGCAGACTGGGCTTCTTTTGTAAGTAAATTACTGGATGTCTATTCACTGTTTTGATACAATTATTGTGCAGAGTGGGGAAAGCAGCTCTTTGCTATTTTAGACTATCTTTTTTATAATTCCGAAGTTAGTCGAGAACAAACTGTGAAACATTTCAGAATCGTAAGAAGACTTGAAAATGATCAAATTGTGTTTGTGTCACATGGCAGTCGGTCGCCTGGATGATTTGTTGCAGCAGCAGAGTAACTGCGGAGAGATCAAATGTGAAAAGCTGGTTTTTGGTGTCGACCTTCTTATTGCTGTCCTATTCAATAAATTAAAATACGTCTGTATTCCAACGAGGATTGTTGCAGAGCCTACCTTTCAAAAATAACATTTAGGCAGGTATTGATGTCGTTTTCATGTTGCCCACATTTCTCTAATTAATGGTTTTTCATTGGTCTGTGTCAGGGGTCGGCAACCCAGCATGTTGAAAGAGCCATTTTGGAGCAAAAAAACAACAAATCTGTCTGTAGCCGCAAAAAATTAAAAGCTTTATGTGAGATTTATGATGTTTAAGCTGTAAGTGTTTATATTTGTGAACACTTATAGTAAGGTGCGCTCTGTAGTCTGGAAAGTACGGTACTCTTTTTGTTATTTGATAACTTCTCACTATAGTGCAACCATTCAGGTAATCTTTCTGGACTGGCAATGAATGCAAAGGATTCTGTCCAAGAATTGTAGAATCAGCTATTTTCCTCGTTTCCCTCTGCTCTCCCACCACCACTCACCCGTCAGCTTGTTTACTGCCTCGCGCCCAGCCAGCTGAAATGTCACAGGCTTCGACGCAAATCGTCGTTGACAGAATGTTGAAATTTAACATTTATTCTGCACATATTTATAGCATTGGGAAATATTAAGAGTGATTGTGTCAGAAACCATATTAAAACAAAAAATATATTTCCCACCCCCATCTTTTTCAAATTTCAAACATTTTTTGAAAAAGCTCCAGAGAACCAACAGGGCGGCGCTGAAGAGCTGGTCCATGTAATATTCTCATTTTAAATGTCATATTCTCATGAGATGTGAGTGGAAAGTAATCAAGATCAATATTAGTTTTATGTTTGTCGGAAATGTTTCATGTCACCTTAAAAAAAAAAAAAAAACAATCAATGTTTGTAATGATCAATTCTCATTCATTGCAGTGTTGTGGTCCCTCTGCTGTGGATGTGCTGAAGGTAAGAAACATGTTCTTTATGTTTCTAACCATGAATCATGATAACAGTTTATATATCAGCCATGTAACATAATATCTGACTCATGTTTTCAGTCCGACAAGTTTACACAGAACAAGAAGCAGTTCTAAATTCATTGTGTTTATCTATTTCTATGATAGATGGAGGTAGAATTTATTTATTCTACCTATAGAATAAATTGATTCACATATTTATCTACTATGTCATGACCAATTGGCATATTAATTATGTAATTCCAGAAAATTTTACAACCTGGCGTTAGTCAGCTTATTTACACTGGTGCATTTCTCTCTGGGTTTTGTATTAATTTGGACAAGTTTCAATCCGAGAGCCTTTATTCACATATTTTACTGCTTTAGCTGCAGGAGGATTGGCAAATTAAACTCAGTGATTTAATTGCTGTCCCCATCTTAATTATTTTATTACATAAAGTTCATACTTCTATGTACTTTTTGAGAAAACAGTCACAAGCTTAATTTCTCCACTTTCTTTGTCTTGAAATCCTGCGGCCAGAGTTGATCTGACTCATGCTGCTACAGCAGAAACCGGCTGATAAAATCTAAAGAGTCTGCAAAGGCTGAAGTGTCAAATCTGCACAGCTGAGAGCAGAAGATAACATACACTGAATAGACAGATGCATTTTGTCCTCATTCCCTCAAGTTAAATCAGATCAAACTTCTCTTGTTTTAGGTCAGCTGGAATTACTTAAGTTGCTTCGGTTTGTTAGTGCCAGAGAGTGTGGGTTGAAGTTTTGGTTTGGTTCATCAGAACCAGCAGGACTTTCCTCCTACAGGCCTCAAAAGAGCCTTGCAGCTGTTGACCCTGTTTCCTGTTCATCACTGTTTCAAGCTTGGACCAGTTGATTGTCTGCAAAAGCAGAAGTGTAGAAATATTGCTGGTAGCAAAACCTGGCAGGGCCCTGATCCCAGAGACCAGTATTAAAATAGTATTATTGATCAGCATCAAATTGAAAAGTTGTTGAATTTTAGACATTGTAATAATAAAAACATTTTCTTGTTTGTTTTGTTCAATTTTATTTTTATTATCACACTTAAAGTAAGTAATGTTTGTATGAACAGTTTCCATTAAACCCAGTGTGATCCAACATCCCAAATGGACCCAGATATACAAAGGTGAACAAGTTACTTTGACATGTGAGATCCAGGGAGGCAGAGGAGCTGAGTGGACGTACGAATGGAGACCAGCCAATGAAAACTCTCCAATGACAAATGAATTGAGGATTATTCCAGCTGTCAGTGGAGATTACAGCTGCAGAGCTGAAACAGATGATAATAAAACAGAATGGAGTGAAGCCCTCAGACTGACAGTGTCAAGTGAGTTAGAATACAAATCTACACAACTTAACCAAGAAAACTGAACCAGAACCAGGTCATGTTCTGATGGTTTGATTGATTTTTCTGCTTTGAATCCAACAGCAGATAAACCCAGAGCCACACTGACAGCAGACCCAACAATCATACCAGCAGGGGGCAGCATAACACTGACCTGCTCTGTGGACGGATCTGATGACTGGAAGTTTGATTGGTTCAGAGATGATCGACCAGTTCAGCTCAGTGGAACCAATGAACAACAAAGTGACGTCAGTGTCTCAGATGGAGGTGTCTACAGCTGCAGAGGACGAAGAGGAAATCCAGTTTATCAAACGGAAGAAAGCAACATTCAGAAAATTGGTGAGTTCAGTTCTATTCTGAAATAAAACAAAAAAAAGCTGCTTTAAAATATTTATCTGTTTACTGGTCAAGTTTTATTACTGTTTGTTGAGCTCAGTTTGTGGTTCACCTTAAAACATAACATGTCTTTTTTCTTTGTCAGTAAACATAATATGTTTTATTTTCATATCATTTAATGAGGCTTATAATCATAAGCTATAAGAATTCAGCATTTTCAGTTTTTTTTCTCAATATAATTTTCTGTCTTCTGATTGAATATTATAAATTTTAGTGTCTGCGCCGACTGTGAAGCAGCATCCCAGCTGGCCTGTCGTATTCACAGGAGAGACGGTCACTCTGAGATGTGAGATGGAGGACGATGAAGGAACTCAGTGGACGTATAAATGGAGTCCAGCCAATAGAAACTCTCCAACATCCAATGAATACAGGATCAACAGCGTCTCTGAGTCTGACAGTGGGAGTTACTATTGCATGGCTAGTAAAGAAGATCAGAACTCAGGCTGGAGTTTTCCCTTTGAACTGACAGTGAAATGTAAGTCTGACAGAAACATCCTCATTCTCACAATCCTAGAACATGGCTTGATTGATTTTTCTGCTTTGAATCCAACAGCAGATAAACCCAGAGCCACACTGACAGCAGACCCAACAACCATACCAGCAGGGGGCAACACAACACTGACCTGCTCTGTGGACGGATCTGATGACTGGAAGTTTGATTGGTTCAGAAATAATCGACCAGTTCAGCTCAGAGGAACCGATGAACAACAAAGTGATGTCAGTGTCTCAGATGGAGGTGTCTACAGCTGCAGAGGAGGAAGAGGAAATCCACTTTATCAAACTAAAGAAAGCGAAGAAGTCTCTGTTCTAAAAACCGGTGAGCTTTGTTCTTTTTCTGTAATAAAATAACAATCTTTCTTTAACTCTAGCATTTGTTTATCAGATGCTTTTTTGGAAGCCATATTGTAATCCCAATGATGAGAAAAAGCTTCAGTAAAACAGTTTTTATATGACTGAAACTCCATTTGATGATGCCTTAAAATAAAACTGTTGTAAATTTTAATTGAGACATTTTGAGTTTTCAATCATCTTCAATACCTTCAATTTCATGTTTAAACCCTTTTTGCTGCATCTTTCCATTTCTAATACTGAATGTTTGATCAACTGGATTTTGAAGTAACTTAGAGTTCATGTGCTCGTCTTTGTGTTAGTTGATTTTAATCCAGATGTACTTTAGCTAAGATAAATTAGTGTTTTAGTGCAAAGTTAGTTTGGAAAAAGATGCTGTGGGAAAAATAAGTGTAAATTTTTGAGATTTTGTCATCTGAAGCAACAGAAAACATTCAGTTAGCTGTTTAATTATTTTATTTCATTTTATAGTATTTTATTTTATTTTGTTTTATTTATTTTATTATATTTTATATTATTTTATTTTATTTCCTGTCTTTAGCTGCATATCACACATGCAAACAACCCAAAAAATATTTCTGTCTGTTTTTATGTTGAAAACTGTTTGTTTTTGTTGAATAGTTTCCAAGCCGACTGGACTTTGAGTTAGAAAACACAATTAATGCGTTTGTTAAAATACATTTAAAAAAATCTTTTTTTCTGAGTTTATGAGCTCAGAAATTAAAATAGTTTCTATAAAATTGTACTTTTGATTTATTAAATATTCAGCCAGAAAATGTTTGCTTAAACATTGTTGATGTGTGTGTCATACAGGTGAACATTAGAGATAATATAAGAATATTTCTGTCTGTTTTCCGGATGAAAACTGTTTTGTTTTTGTTGAATAGTTTCCAAGCCGACTGTGATCCTTCAACCCAGTGGGTCTGTTGTATATAAAGGAGAGAAAGTCACTCTGAGATGTGAGATCAAGGAAGGAGGAAGAACTCAGTGGACAAATGTATGGAGAAAAAACGATGGAAACAATCAGAGAAGGTCCAGTGAATACAGCATCAATAGAGTCTCTGAACATCACAGTGGAGTTTACAGCTGTATGGCTACAGGAGTCATCAACAAACAGAATGGAGCGATGGCGTCACACTGACAGTGAAATGTGAGTCTGATTTAGAAACTTTATATTGTTTGGATTTAATATAAAACCAGGTTTTCTGTTATTTCTGACCACAAACAAAATAAAAGCAAGAGACTTTCTATTAGATAAATATAAACAGCTTCATGTCACTGAAGTAAACACTACAGAGTCACTCTGCAGTTCAATGTTAAGCCTTTAATGTGGTACTAAGCTATACTCAACATTTTAAGACAGTTTAGTGTTAAAATAGTTTCGTTTTTCCTGAAGTTCTTATATGATTTAGTGATGTGGCCTCTGTGTCGAGGCATTGAAGAGTGTGTATTGAGTAATCAATGAGGGTTATTGTATCCAGGCTTGTGGTGTAGAAACAGGCGATGACGTTTGAAGCCTCCCAATCGGACCGAATCACATGACTGATTCAGAAACCGGACCTTGTGAATCCAAATGCATTGCTGTTTCTCCTGTCATATTTTCTTGTTTCAAGACTGTATTGTATATGTTTGCAATGTTTAGTGAGTTTCTTTTATGCAATGGACGTATTTTCCCCTTGTCTGGCAATAATGTAATCTTTCCTAATAAGCTTTGCACATGTTGATAATAAATTATCACCAAAAGCAAAACAGAGAAACCACCAAACAAAGATTAGTCACTAATATGATTTTCTTTTCCTTCTTTATTTAAAACCCGCAGCAGATAAACCCAGAGCCACATTGACAGCAGATAGAACAATCATACCAGCAGGGGGCATCATAACACTGACCTGCTATGTGGACGAATCTGATGACTGGAAGTTTGATTGGTTCAGAAATGATCGACAATATTTTGTTGGTCAGTTCAGAGTTATCTCTGTCTCAGATGGAGGAGTCTACAGCTGCAGAGGAGGAAGAGGAAATCCAGTTTTTCATACAGAAAAAAGCAACATTCAGAAAATTGGTGAGTTCAGTTCTATTCTGAAATAAAACAAAAAAAAGCTGCTTTAAAATATTTTTCTGTTTGCTGGTCAAGTTTTATTACTGTTTGTTGAGCTCAGTTTGTGGTTCACCTTAAAACATAACATGTCTTTTTTTCTTTGTCAGTAAACATAATATGTTTTATTTGCATATCATTTAATGAGGCTGATAATCATAAGCTATAAGAATTCAGCATTTTCAGTTTTTTGCTCAATATAATTTTCTGTCTTCTGATTGAATATTATACATTTTAGTGTCTGTGCCGACTGTGAAGCAGCATCCCAGCTGGCCTGTCATATTCACAGGAGAGACGGTCACTCTGAGATGTGAGATGGAGGACGATGAAGGAACTCAGTGGACGTATAAATGGAGTCCAGCCAATAGAAACTCTCCAACATCCAATGAATACAGGATCAACAGCGTCTCTGAGTCTGACAGTGGGAGTTACTGTTGTATGGCTAGTAAAGGAGATCAGAACTCAGGCTGGAGTTTTCCCTTTGAACTGACAGTGAAATGTAAGTCTGACAGAAACATCCTCATTCTCACAATCCTAGAACATGGCTTGATTGATTTTTCTGCTTTGAATCCAACAGCAGATAAACCCAAAGCCACACTGACAGCAGACCCAACAACCATACCAGCAGGGGGCAGCACAACACTGACCTGCTCTGTGGCTGGATCTACTGGCTGGAAGTTTGATTGGTTCAGAGATGAAGAACCAGTTCAGCTCAGAGGAACCAATGAACAACAAAGTGACGTCAGTGTCTCAGATGGAGGTGTCTACAGCTGCAGAGGAGGAAGAGGAAATCCAGTTTATCAAACGGAAGAAAGCAAAAAAGTCTCTGTTCTAAAAACCGGTGAGCTTTGTTCTTTTTCTGTAATGAAATAAAATTCTTTGTTTAAATCTAGCATTTGTTTATCAGATGCTTTTTTAGAAGCCATATTGTAATCCCAATGATGAGAAAAAGCTTCAGTAAAGCAGTTTTTATATGACTGAAACTCCATTTGAAGATGCCTTAAAATGAAACTGTTGTAAATTTTAATTGAGACATTTTGAGTTTTAAATCATCTTCAGTATCTTCAATTTCATGTTTAAACCCTTTTTGCTGCATATTTCCATTTATAATACTGAAGGTTTGATCAACTGGACTTTGAAGTAACTTAGAGTTCATGTGCTCGTCTTTGTGTTACTTGATTTTAATCCAGATGTACTTCAGCTAAGATAAATTAGTGTTTTAGTGCAAAGTTAGTTTGGAAAAAGATGCTGTGGGAAAAATAAGTGTAAATTTTTGAGATTTTGTCATCTGAAGCAATAGAAAACATTCAGTTAGCTGTTTAATTTATTTTATTTCATTTTATAGTATTTTATTTTATTTTGTTTTATTTATTTTATTATATTTTATATTATTTTATTTTATTCCTGTCTTTACCTGCATATCACACATGCAAACAACCCAAAAAATATTTCTGTCTGTTTTTATGTTGAAAACTGTTTTGTTTTTGTTGAATAGTTTCCAAGCCGACTGGACTTTGAGTTAGAAAACACAATTAATGCGTTTGTTAAAATACATTTAAAAAACTCTTTTTTCTGAATTTATGAGCTCAGAAATTAAAATAGTTTCTATAAAATTGTACTTTTGATTTATCCAATATCCAGCCAGAAAATGTTTGCTTAAACATTGTTGATGTGGGTGTCATACAGGTGAACATTAGAGATAATATCAGGATATTTCTGACTGTTTTCATGTTGAAAACTGTTTTGTTTTTCTTGAATAGTTTTCAAGCCGACTGTGATCCTTCAACCCAGTGGGTCTGTTGTATATAGAGGAGAGAAAGTCACTCTGAGATGTGAGATCAAGGAAGGAGGAAGAACTCAGTGGACATATGAATGGAGAACAAACAATAGAAACATTCAAATAAGATCCAGTGAATACAGCATCAATAAAGTCTCTGAATATCACAGTGGAGTTTACAGCTGTATGGCTACAGGAGATCATCAACAAACAGAATGGAGCGATGGCGTCACACTGACAGTGAAACGTGAGTCTGATTTAGAAACTTTATATTGTTTGGATTTAATATAAAACCAGGTTTTCTGTTATTTCTGACTACAAGCAAAATAAAAGCAAGAGACTTTCTGTTAGATAAATAAAAACAGTTACATTTCACTGAAGTAAACACTACAGAGTCACTCTGCAGTTCATTGTTAAGCCTTTAATGTGGTACTAAGCTATACTCAACATTTTAAGACAGTTTAGTGTTGAAATAGTTTAGTTTCTCCTGAAGTTCTTATATGATTTAGTGATGTGGCCTTGTGTTGAGGCATTGAAGAGTGTGTATTGAGTAATCAATGAGGGTTATTGTATCGAGGCTTGTGGTGTAGAAACAGGCGGTGACGTTTGAAGCCTCCCAATCGGACCGAATCACATGACTGATTCAGAAACCGGACCTTGTGAATCCAAATGCATTGCTGTTTCTCCTGTCATATTTTCTTGTTTGAAGACTGTATTGTATATGTTTGCAATGTTTTTTGACTTTCTTTTATGCAACGGACGTATTTTCCCTTGTCTGGCAATAATGTAATCTTTCCTAATAAGTATTGGACATGTTGATAATAAATTATCACCAAAACCAAAACAGAGAAACCACCAAGCAAAGATTGGTCACTAATATGATTTTCTTTTCTTTCTTGTTTATTTAAAACCCGCAGCAGATAAACCCAGAGCCACACTGACAGCACACAGAACAATCATACCAGCAGGGGGCAGCATAACACTGACCTGCTCTGTGGACGAATCTGATGACTGGAAGTTTGATTGGTTCAGAAATAACAATATTTTGCATCCCGGTTCAGAGTTATCTCTGTCTCAGAGAGAGGTGTCTACAGCTGCAGAGGAGGAAGAGGAAATCCAGTTTTCTACACTGAAACCAGCGGAAAGGTCACTATTGAGAAAACAGGTAAACTTGTCTTTATTGTGAAAAGAAACATCTTTAGTGCTTCTTTGTTCATCAGTGGTGTTAAAAGTATTATGACTCCAGTGCAACGATCATCATCTGTAACTCCATCTAATGAAGCCTGAAAGCAGAAAATTTGCTCCTGTTCATGTTGATATTTAAACCAGACAATGAATTTCTATGTTGATATTGACAGAGGATTTACTGCAGCAACTTTTGTCTGTTTGATGGAAAAACTGTCACAAATGTGATTATATGATGCAAACAGTGCAACATTCTGGCTGTAAGCCAGTAATTTATAGGAAGTGCATATTATATGTCTAATACTGCTTTGTTTTGCTTTATTGTTCTTTACCAGTGATCATTTTATTTTGTTAGTTATAATGAGAGTTATTAGACAGATATTCACATACACTGGATCAAAAGTTATTAAAATTGTTTTCTCAGTGTATGAAGTAAATCAAACATTTTCTTATTTTAGTTCAACCAGAACAACCAAAATTATTTCTGTTTGCTAAATGAGATTAAAAAAACATAGTGAGCACATGTGAGATTTTTTTTTAATTTTCTTTCTTTGAATTAAGAAATGTATTTACCTTTTTTTCTTTTAAACTGTATGACTTGAGTCAAATCTTTTGGGTTTCCTTCCTCAACTGTTGATAGGTTAACTATTAATTAATTAGCCTTCAATTTACATTTGAGTTAATTGAAGGCAGACCTGAAACTCACTGCTTCCTTGTTTGAAGTGATTGGCATGTCAAAAGCTACAAAAAAAAAAAATCCTTCAAAAGATATTTTCACTATGTTTCTGGCATTTAGCAAATATAAATAATTTAGTTAATTCTAACTAACTTAAAACAAGAGATTTGATTTCAGACATTAGTAAATAATGTTTAAGTGTCTCTTTATTTGGTGTATGGAAATATCTCTTCTCTGTTACTCATGTGAACAGTTCCCATCACACCAACTGTGATCCAACAACCCAACTGGTCTCAGATCTACAGAGGAGAGGAAATCACTCTGAGATGTGAGATCCAGGATGATGAAGGAACTCAGTGGACGTATGAATGGATTACAACCAATAGAAACTCTCCAACATCCAGCAAATCCATGATCACTGCTTATAGCAGTGGAGATTATAAATGCAGAGGAAGAAGAGACGGTTTCACCATAACAAAGTGGGGAGTCATCACATTAACAGTGTCCTGTGAGTTCACCCATGTATGAATAATGCTTACAGGGATTTTACTAGCAAATCTTAATATGTAATAAAATATTTCTACATGTGTGTATGTATGTTTATACCTCCTCTCTCTCCAGCGTCTCCCCCTCAGCCTGTCCTCTCTGTGTCTCCATCATGGCTGAATCCTGGAGCCTCAGTGACTCTGAACTGTGAGGGTTTGGAGCTTCAATCAGCAGGATGGAGGTTCTTCTGGTAAAACTGTTCCAAACCCAATCAGCAGTTCCTACAGCTTTGAGCTGCTGCCTAACACCATCAATGGGTCTGAGCAGAACTCCTTCATCATTAATGGACCGACTCAAACAGCAGGATATCAGTGCAGAGCAGGAAGAGGAGAACCAAAGTTTTACACTAATTACAGTGAAGTAAAGTTTATCTGGTCTGCAGGTCAGTTTGTTTCTGTTCTTTCATTTTGAATTTTTATTCCACTGTTTGTATTTTTTATGAGCTCAGGTTTCTAATTAACGTTGTGAATAATGTATTGTATTCCTCCTGTCTTATGTATTTTATTAATAGTGATAAACACACCTGTCTGTTAGGTTTAGAGAGATGAATAAAAAACTGAGACAATTTCAACAACAATAACAAAATAATGTGTTGTTGAAGCTATAAAATAATGATGGATGTGATCCTCAGTCATTTCACTCTTTTCAAAGTTTTGCACATCTTAGGCAAAGAATTAGCTTTTGACTCTGATTAAATAGTTTGGGGAAAAAAATAGAAGTTGGAAGCAGCAGTTGCCGAATGTTTTTCCGTAGGGTTTGTGTAATGGTAGAATGAGTCAACATGACAAAATTATTTAGCTTTCTGCTGAAAGTCAGTGATGAAGAGAACTACAACCAGAATACAGTAAAGTGTTTATGGGATCAGAAGCTATAAGGAGAATGTTTCCGTCTGGAACCACTAGGGGGAGCTGTGGCACATGGTCAGCTGCAATAACTTGAAGAAGGAGCTGACAGAGCAGCCAGTTACCTGCTGAACTTTTATTAATACGTTGTTTCATTCTCAGTCGTTTTGGTTGTTATGTGTACTTAGAGTTTTAGTAGTGTTTTACAAAATAAAAATATTGTGTGATGTTTTCACGTTTTAAATCTTCATTGATGTATTAACCATTTTAACCTACATTTGTAAATCACATTATTTAAATGCTATTGAGATGTTTGATTAACTATGAATTATTTGCAGAAATATTTGATAGAAGATTGTAAATTTTTTTAATTTCCTTCCCTTTTAACATTTAAAGGTCAAAAGCTTGGCGTTTTTGACCATTTCTTTTTTAACTGTCACAAAGAAACAAATTAGCAGATTATCGCTGTGCCCATTAGTTTTGCTACCTCAATGCTCTGAAAGTCTGACATTATGGACTCTTTTCTTATTTTTAAAAAAATTATATCAACAACTTTAATAAGATCAACATTTATTTCATGTTACTCGTATTTTCTTTTTTTCTTTTTTGTTGTTGTTTTTGGTGTCTTTGGTTTTTACACTAATCATTTTACAGCTTATTTTACAATCACAGCTCAATGAACATTGTTTTTTACATTTTCTCAACACAACTGCTAAGAAAAATTCTGTAAAATTCTGTGTTTTTTTCAGACTCTCATCCAGCAGCTTCTCTCTCAGTGAGTCCTGACAGAGTTCAACATTTCATTTATCAGTCTGTCACACTGAACTGCACTGGGAACAACACCAAGTGGAGAGTGAAGAGGTTTACAGAATCAACCAGTCTATCATATGTTCAGTGCTTCAACTGGGGGAGGATGCCTGAATCCTCATGTACCATTAAGAGACTGAAGGTTCACAGTGGAGTTTACTGGTGTGAGTCTGGATCAGGAGAATTCAGCAATGCAGTCAACATCACTGTACAAAGTAGGTTATAAATTTTTAAAAAGTTAATTTTGTTTACTTTTTATTATTCAGAATGACTAGAGTTCCTGTAGACATATCTCTACAGGAATTTCGTGTTTCCTACATTCTTTTCTCTTCAGGTAAATTTTATAAATTAATGAAGCCAAATTCAGTATTTGACAGATGGAGCTGAAGGGTGTTAACATTTTTTGTCCTTTAAAACTGAGCAGCTGAACTTCTTCCTTTACCTGTTCTGTTTTATAAGCGTGTGATCCAAGTAAATTTTAGGAAAAATAACAGATAACTCCATAGGTGTAGAACGTGGATCAAAATCACTAATAATCAAATGATTAGAATAGAATAAAAGTCAACTTTGTCATTTCACGTCACAAGTACAAAGCAAAGAAATGCAGTTTGAGTCCATCCAGAAGTGCTTGAAAATAAGAATGTTACAAATGTACAGTAGGTTTTATATTAAAATATGCTAACTTTAATATTATTGTACAAAATATTATAATATTAGAACTTTGAAAAATTATAACCGCATATTAACAATCCATTGAAAAATGTTATATAATCTCTCATGTCTCTTGTCTTTGTGAAACGGAGTCTCATTGCAGTTTTTTTTATTTTGTTTAATATGTATTTTCATCTAAAATAATGCAATTTTTAGGTTGATGTGTGAAATTTTTTGCCATCAATAATAATTCAAAAATAATAATTACTATGTAATATTAGAAGTGCTGCACAGTATTTTAGATTAATCAGAATCAAAATGAGCCAAACAGCGCTCAGCATTTTTATTGCTGTTGTCCTATAGTTTGTATGTAATTGCAGATGAATTTATGATTCTGGTAAATTATACTTCACCAGCTGCAGTGGCTTCAGAAGGCTTGACTGATCCACAGAGAGCAGACACTCAGTATTTTTATTTCAATCTGGATCAACTCACACAGAGAAAAATAAGCAGTTAGAAGATTTTAATGAACAAATCTTTGGCGCTCGAACCGGCAGAAGACTAGTGAGCGTAGATCGCCGGGGGAAGATGCTGAGTCCGGCGAAGCTCCCTAGTCTTACCCCCCGGTCCGAATACTGGTGATGGAGCGGAGCCTTGGATGGAGGAGCGCGTAAAGCGCCTGGAGAATGGTCATCGGGCTGAAGGTGGAGATGGGGAGGAGGTGGGTGCCCGGAGGCTCGACTTCTTGAATGGACAAGGCTTGACGTTGATTGGTATGGGACGCGCAAGGGCGCCGATCCTGATTGGCCGCAGGGGTGTGACGTGATTGAAGTGGATCAGCTGTGATGTAGATCAGCTGTGTTCTGTCTCCCAGCTTGAATTCACACCTTAGCTCCATGTCTTAAATAGGAAGAGAAAAAAAAGTGACATTACAAAAGCTGCACATTTCTTCAATATAAATGAGCAGATATACTAATTCTAATACATTTCTGTTATTGTTTTTGCAGCTTCTAATCTTCCTTTTGACTGATTTTCTTTTGCAGTTTAGTATGCAGGAAATGATTCTTGAAATATTTGAAATTATTTATCAAAAAATTTATGAAAAAATAGAGACTGATTGTGTTTTCCATTGGCTCGGTTTAACACTCAAAGATAGAAAATCTACATAAATAACTGAATCTGTCAGGTTCTGTGTTTTTCTGTGTTTTAATTCCGAGTTTCTGTGTCCTGAGTCTCCTCGTTGTCCTGTCTTCCCCTTGATTGTTCCCAGGTGTGTCTTGTTCCCCTGATTACCCTCAGTGTATTTAGTCCCTCCTGTGTCCTTTGTTCCTCGTCGGGTCTTTGTCAGATTGTTGTCAGATTTTTGTTGTTGTGTTTACCGCCTGTATGACCAGTTGCTACCGGCGTTGAGCCCTGGCTTCCGCTCAGCCGTGCTGCCTGGCCGCGGACTCTGTTGACTGTGTTTTTGTGGACTGTTTTTATTAAATTACTCACCATTCACCTACCTGGGTCTCCAGCGTCTGCCTCACCACCTCCACTACTCACCTTTTCATGACAGAAGCAGCTTTTTCAAAAGTTTGTCAACAGTTGATTGCTTGTCAGTAGTTGATATTCTGTCTATTTTACAGATGATTATGATGATCGTGTTATCCTGGTGAGCCCTGTTCATCCTGTGACTGAGGGAGATCCCGTGACTCTGAGCTGCAGAAATAAACAACAACAGTTTCTCTCCAATGTGTTTTTCTATCATAATGATAAACTCATCAATAATGACAGCAGAGAGGAGCTGAAGATCTCTGCAGTGTCAAAGTCAGATGAAGGTTTCTACAAATGTAAACATTCAGGAAAAGAGTCACTAAAGAGCTGGATGTCTGTTAGAGGTGAGGAGGATTAAAATGTTTGTAATTTAGTTTTATCCAGTTGTTGGAGCTCAAGGTGAGAAATGAATATGTCAATGTGGATGTGACATTATACCTTTGTTTCCTTTCAATATTTAATATTTTCAGGAACTGTGTCCAGTCCTGTTCCCTCCTCGTCTCCTTTACTGCTGATCATTGGACCCATTAGTGGAATCATTCTGATTATTTTCCTGCTCTTATTGTGGCGCTACAAGCAGCACAAAGGTTGATCACATTGTTTATTTAAACCCTTTAATCAAAGGCACACATTTATTCTGTTCTATGTGACAAATGATTTGAACCACAGAATAAGTAACAAGAAATGTCTTTTCCACAGATTTATGCTCTTTCAGGTCAGTCATTACTTTCCTTTCCTTGATAAAGAACACAGATCTCTGTACTTGTTTGCTGTAACTTTTATCTATTTGTGTTTTAGATCAGAAAAAAACAGTCAGAGATCGACCATCAATCAAGGAGCGGAGAATGAGTTCAGTGTCAGTAGCTCTGCTACTCCAGGTCAGAATTTAATCATATTCTTCTCATGATGCATTTACATCTTTTTATTTTTGTCATCAACTCACATATTTATTCAGTATGTTTAATATTTGCATGTTTATGATCGTAATTAAAATAGGCCACCATAAAACTGATCTGTTATGACACAATAAACTTACCAAGAATGAAATGTGAGATTCAGTTGAAATATATAAAAAAAGATTTCAGATAAACAAGCAAGATATTTTTGTCTTGAATAATTTCACTTTCTAACTGTATGACTTTAATGCTGATGGCCTATTAGACTACTGTTCAAAGAAAATAAATGAAAATCCCAAAACATACAACCAATTACAGAGCATCCGATAAGTATTCACATCTATGCACTTTGTCGGCCTTTTATATCACAGCTTTGTGCTGTGAAAATTTAATTAATCTCTTTCCTCAAAATTCTCCACACAAATACCCAACAATAATAATGTGGAAAATGTTAGATTTTTTCCAAATGTATTAAAAATAGGAAACTAAGAAATCACATTTACATACATATTTCCAGCATTTCATCAATGTTGGATGCACTTTAAAACACTTTTGTCTCAAAGTTTTTAAAAACCAGCTGTTCTTTGTAACATTGTTATTATATAACTATTAACCTGGTGCTGCTCTCTGTGGATCCGTCTGTGAAGCCACTGCAGCTGGTGAAGTATTTCTGTTTAAAGCAGATGAACACACAACTGGAGCGCTTAAGAAAACAAGCCGATCTAAAATTGTGAAACATTTTTTGCTGCAGCTGAACCCAGTGAAGTAACGTACACCGCCATTAAATTCAAAAAGCTCCGAAAAAAGAGTGAGTTCAAAATTACAAACCTTTTACTGCACAAGAGGATAACTGAATGATTTCTAACTGTGTGTCTTTGTTTTGTCGATCTCAACAGGAAAACCCCGTAAACCTGAGGAGCCCGTTATTTACGCAGAAGTGAACACAAGTGCTGCAGGTAAAGTCAGTCGGACTTTATATCAAAATGTGTCTTCGTGTCAATACCCTGCAGGTTCAGATCATCTAACATAATTCTACAAGTATATGTAAAAATGTCAAAAGAGAAAGAATCAAATATATAGCTATATATATATATATATATATATATATATATATATATATATATATATATATATATATATATATATATATTTTAAAATCTAACATATCTAGTATAATTTACCAGAATCATAAATTAATCTTCAATTACATACAAACTATAGGACAATAGCAATAAAAATGCTGAGTGCTGTTTGGCTCATTTTGATTCTGATTAATCTAAAATACTGTGCAGCACTTCTAATATTTTCCAAGAGATCCTAATGTTTACTGTCTGATCACAGAGTTATGATAAACTAAAAAGGCATCAGTCAGGAGAAGGGAAAAAACCCTCAGTATTTTTATGTCTTAAATAGCAAAAGAAAAAAAAAGTGACATTACAAAAGCTGCAAATGTCTTAAATATAAATGAGCAGACATTACTAATACTAATACATTTATGTTATTGTTATTGCAGCTTCTAATCTTCCTGTTGACCAATTTTCTTTTGCAGTTTAGTATGCAGGAAATGATTCTTGAAATGTTTTGTTTATTATGACCTCATCATCATCAAAAATAATGAACATCTGTAACATTGGCTGCAAACTCTCTCTTGACATCAGCAGAAACAGAGGGACTGAACACATTTACAGATTGTGTGTTTCATTAAAACATTTGTTGCATGTTAATTTTGCAGTGTATCAAGTGTTTTTAAATATATTACCCCTCCCCATGTAGCCACGCAGCTGCAAATTGTGAAAAGAAAATTTTCCTTCCCCTTTGTGAAGTTTTAGCTTCCTCAAGATGACACAGTATTGGATGTTTCCTTTGTCAAATGCAGTCTGTTATTGAAACGAAAAAACGAACTGTCTCTCTTGAATTTGGTTACAGCTTTTCAGAATCGGACATAAATTTACTTTGGTTTTTTGGTACACAATATAGTGTAAACCATTCCTGTGTTTGATTAAATGAGTTTCCTGTTTCAGAACTCGCTCCAACGTACGCTGAAATCAATAAGAACAGAGCCAAGCGAAACAGGAGAGGTAACACTCAGTTTGCACTCAGTTTCTCATATGCAACATATTTAATCAAATCATTTTAGATTGTAAATTGATGAGATATTTTCACCATAATTCCCAGTTCTAGTAATCCTTTTTAGCATTTTGGATGTATGACTTTGCAGATTTTCCTCTATATGCAATACTTTTTAACTAATGACGTAAGCTTTGTGTGTGGACAGTGTTAGGATCAGCATAACACTGGGAATTAAATTCCTGCTTGTTATTTTGTTATCATTAATGCTAATTATCTTCATTCACAGAAAAACCTGCAGCAACAGATGAATCAGTTTATTCTGAAATCAAATCAGGGGCAACTCTGGAAGGTGAATCTGCCTTTTAGCACACCATGCAAACTTAGATGTTTGTGTACATGCTTATCTATTTTGGTACTTTAAATATAACTAATATATGTCTCTGATCCAAAATGCTGTGAAAGTGTGAAATATATAATCATCTATTTTCTATTACATAATTAAAACTTATTTAGTTGTATTAAGTGATACTGTAAGGGAATCCGTATTAAAATCTCTGTCTTTTGGAATAAACTATAGAATTGTATTATATTGCAGTCTAAGCACTGTGGACTTTTTTATGATGTTTCTATGTGCTCTTAATGTCATGTTTATTGTTTCCTATTTCTACAATGCTGCAGACAAAAGATGGGAACAATTGGCTGAAGTTAATGGATGAAAAAATAAATGATGTTTCTCCTTAGATTAAGCATTAAAAACAGCTAAGCTTTCTTTATTTTATTTCATTTTGTACAAACTTGTTACATTTAATAAATATGTCACATTTCAATGTGTATTTTGTGTTTCATTTGTTTATAAAAAAGAAAACACCAAACACCATTTTGAGGGTTCTGGCAGTATAGCCCGTTTCAGCACTGGACAGCTCCCAGAATGCAACACAGCTGTGACGACAGAGCAATGTCGCGGCTCGTGCTCGCGCATCTCTGAATTTCTGTCACTGCGCGGATCGCGCGCGCTGCCTGTCACTCAAACTGGACGAGTTGGAAAGTGATGTTGCAGAGGAGGTTCCCCTGCTCTGGTATTAACGTGATACAGACGCACTTTATCAGAATACGGAGGAACGGGAACCAACGTAAGCGTCAATTCTAAACGTCACGCTGCTCGTTCGGCTCGCGCGCTCAACTCAAAGCTTTCGAGAGGAAGAAACTCTGAAAGGTCTTATCAGACATTATTGGTTTCTGTCAAAGACCTCTTTAAACTTCGCCCTCATTCTTTCTGACCTCTATATTGTTGAAGTGACTTCAATAATGTCGGATGTTTCACCTAAAAAGCCCCGCTTGTAAATCCATCAAATTCAAGTCTCCTTCATTGCTCTGTTTGTCACCATAACGAGACATACACATATTCATTTGTGTATGTATATATTCATATTTATATATGTATATATACACATATTTATTTATGTATGTATATATACATATATTTACATATGTATGTATATATACATATATTTATTTATGTATGTATATATATATACATATGTATGCATATACATTATTCATATATGTATATATATTTATGTATATATATATATATATATATATATATATATATATATATATATATATATATATATACATTTACATATGTATATATACACATATTTATTTATATCTGTATATATACATTTATTTATAGATGAATGTATATATAAACATATTTTTATGTATGTATATATAGATATATTTATATATAGTCTGTAATTATGAACTGCAAATATTATATTTAGAATTTATTAAATATCCAGCCTAAAATGTTTTCCTATCCATTTGTTCTGTATTTGAGCTGCTTGATGGTAGCAGCCCAGACTCATCATGGAGGGGATAATTAGTAGAGTTGGTAGGTAGATTCTGCAAAGAGTAGACGCCTCACAAAATATGCATAGAGAAGCTCAATTTGATTCCAACTGTATCTGGAAATTCCAGTTCTGCAAACAATTCCAGGTATGAGCTGCAGTGTCTTTAAATGGCACATATGTTCCTCAAATATGAACCATTTAGCAGTTTTTGAAACCAATGAGCCCTTTCTTTAAGACATCCTTTATATTGGCCAATTTACCAGACTTTAGTGGGGGAACCGGAGCACCCGGAGAAAACCCACAATCACTAAGAAAGAACCGACAACCACAAATAGAAAGAGGCGCCCAGTCAAAAACTGAGACATCTCTTCTGTGTGGCTGCAGCTAAGCCACGTGGCTTATTACTGTTTTTATTGTGCAATATTTGGAAGTGTTTGAAAGGGTTCTAATTTCTTGTTTTAGTGGCCTCCTTGCATTTGTCTAATTTTTGCAGATTCCTGAGATCCAGATAGAGCAGCATCTTCTCCAGACTTGTTGAGCGGCCTCTCGCCTCCGCAGGCTCAGGATCTGAGCTTTCAGTTTTCTCGCCTCTTTCACATAAAGAAGTTTGATGTCCATGTGATTTTGATATAGAATGGCTGAATCTGTCAGCATCTCCTCTACAAAGTCATTTAGCTCCTCTGGAGATGCATTGGATACTTCCATTTCTTCAGACAGCATCTCCTCAATGAGACTGTCCAGATCCATATCATCAGTGACGTTGTTTTCAGGCACATTCTCTTCACGCCTGGCCACTTTCCTTCTCGGAGGTCTGACTTCCTCGGTGTCTTGCATCGTCGTCTCCAGATTTTCCAACCTTCTTTTGTAGCTCACCTTCTTGACAGAGTGCATCTGCCGGAATGCCATGAGTTTTTTTTGGAGCTGGTCTTTCTCGGACTCCAGTTCATCAATAATCTTTAGGTCCCTCATCAATTTGTAGGAAAGAGCATTTACCTCCTTATCGACGTACTGCTTAAATATCTGTGCCTGCTCTCTCAGAGCAGAAACGTCCCTTTCATATGTAGCCATAAGTTTCTGGTGAGAATCTTTAGTCTGTTCCAGTTCACTTCGGAGAAGACTCTCTGTTTCTCTGAAGTTGGCTATCTCCTGGGACATTTGTCGTTGCAGGTCGTCCTTCTCGGCTCTCAGCTTTTCAAAGCGCTTTTCGTTCTGCTCGAGTTTCTCCTCGTAAAACATCTTAGATTCGACCTGGAGCTTCTCCTCACGATCGTCGGCTTCATATTTTGATTTAAGCTCCTCGTATCGCGTCTTCATTTCTTTCAGCTCTTTGTGGAGGGCGTCACCTCTTTCTTTTTCTGCCTTAATTTCTGAGGTGAACGCTTCCTCTTTAACAATGCAAGACACCTTCAGCTGCTCCAGGTCCTCTTGCAGCAGCCTTTTCCTCTTGTGTCTTATTTCGCTGTGGAGAGTGGAAGCGATGGCGACAGGGTTGAGAGTCTCAGAATCGGCAAACTTCTCTACTGCCAGCAGTGTCCTCTTTATTTCTTTGCCCCTGTTAATAAAAACCTTCTTGAGATTTCTCTGCTTTTCCAGCTCAGCTTTGGTGTCTTTCAGCTCTTTCTCCAGACTGAGCACCTTTTGGTTCTCTTGAAACCACTTGGCTCGCTCCATTTCCAAGAGAGAGCCAAGTCTCTGGAGTTCTCTCTGGAGCTCAGCGGGAGACGCTCTGTTCTCACTCCATCCTTGTTGTTGTTGTCCACCTCTCCACGCCCTCGGCTGGGATCTGAACCCGCCTTTGGGATGCTGTGGCCTTTGATACGGCATATCTCGATCTGCAAACAATGTCAACCTCGACTTTATTGGCGCTTTGCGTACGTCTGAACTGGTCATCGTGTAGCTAGCAATGAGCAGAAGGTGGAAGTTTGCTACATAAGAGAACAGAGACGATGACATCACAAGCATGACTAGTTGTGACATCATACAAAGAGTGGTGACCATGGAGATCTCTGCCGCACTAATCAGCAGCACCTCACCTTCCTTCCTGTATCAGATGGAGATGCGCTGTTGACGTGGCTGTCGTTTATTTTTCCTGTCGATTTTTGTTCATGTTCGTTTTTCTTTCTTTTTGTTGCTTTTTGGGACACGTTACATGAGTCATCAAAATGTCAGACAGCAACACAATATTCAGTCACAGTCTTCTTCGGATTCACTGGAAGATTGAACACTGGAGATCCTTCCTGCCATCCACCAACAAACCTTGAACATTCTTGGATGAGATATTTAAGGGTTATTGCATCAAACCAGAGTTTAGGAGCTAGAACTTTAGATTTGGTGAATATATAATGTTAAGAAAGAAAGTCGGTTTCCTGGTTCTGCACTGTGGCTGTTAGTCATAAGGTGCATTTTCAGCCATTAAGGAGAGATGAGAGAGGATGATAAATCACTGAATAGTCCTGAAAAATGTTTATATATATATCTGTACATATATAAATACATTTATATATGTATATAAACATATATATGTATACATACATATATTTATGTATTTATGTATGTATGTATATATACACCTATTTATTTATATATGTATATATACACATATTTATTTATTCATATATGTATATATACACATATTTATTTATATATGTATATATACACATATTTATTTATGTATGTATATATATACACATATTTATTTATATATGTATATATACACATATTTATTTATGTATGTATATATACATATATTTATGTATGTATATATTTATATATAGTCTGTAATTATGAACTCCAAATATTATATTTAGAATTTATTATACATCCTGCCTAAAAATGTTTTCCTATCATTTGTTCTGTATTTGAGCTGCTTGATGTTAGCAGCCCAGACTCATCATGGAGGGGATAATTAGGAGAGTTGGTAGGTAGATTCTGCAAAGAGTTGACGCCTCACAAAATATGCATAGAGAAGCTCAATTTGATTCCAACTGTATCTGGAAAATCCAGTTCTGCAAACAATTCCAGGTATGAGCTGCAGTGTCTTTAAATGGCTCATATGTTCCTCATATATGAACCATTTAGCAGTTTTTGAAATCAATGAGCCCTTTCTTTAGGTCATCCTTTATATTGGCCAATTTACTAGACTTTAGTGGGGGAACCGGAGCACCCGGAGAAAACCCACAATCACAAAGAAACAACTTACAACCACAAATAGAAAGAGGCGCCCAGTCAAAACTGAGACATCTCTTCTGTGTGGCTGTGGCTTATTACTGTTTTTATTGTGCAATATTTGGAAGTGTTTGAAAGGGTTCTAATTTCTTGTTTTAGTGGCCTCCTTGCGTTTGTCTCATTTTTGCAGATTCCTGAGATCCAGATAGAGCAGCATCTTCTCCAGACTTGCTGAGGAGCCTCTCGCCTCCGCGGGCTCCGGATCTGAGCTTTCAGTTTTCTCGCCTCTTTCACACACAGAAGTTTCTTGCATGCATGGGATTTTGATAGAGAATGGCTGAATCTCTCAGCATCTCCTCTACAAAGTCATTCAGCTCCTCTGGAGATGCATCAGGTACTTCCATTTCCTCTGACAGCATCTCCTCAATGAGACTGTCCAGATCCATATCATCATCGACGTTGTTTTCAGGCACATTCTCTTCACGTCTGGCCACTTTCCTTCTCGGAGGTCTGACTTCCTCGGTGTCTTGCATCGTCGTCTCCAGATTTTCCAACCTTCTTTTGTAGCTCACCTTCTTGACCGAGTGCATCTGCCGGAATGCCATGAGTTTTTTTTGGAGCTGGTCTTTCTCGGACTTCAGTTCATCAATAGTCTTTAGGTCCCTCATCAATTTGTGTGAAAGAGCATTTACCTCCTTATCGACGCCCTGCTTAAATATCTGTGCCTGCTCTCTTAGAGCAGAAACGTCCCTTTCATATGTAGCCATAAGTTTCTGGTGAGAATCTTTAGTCCGTTCCAGTTCACTTCGGAGAAGACTCTCTGTTTCTCTGAAGTTGGCTATCTCCTGGGACATTTCGTTGCAGGTCCTCCTTCTCGGCTCTCAGCTTTTCAAAGCGCTTTTCGTTCTGCTCGAGTTTCTCCTCGTAAAACATCTTAGATTCGACCTGGAGCTTCTCCTCACGATCGTCGGCTTCATATTTTGATTTAAGCTCCTCGTATCGCGTCTTCATTTCTTCCAGCTCTTTGTGGAGGGCGTCACCTCTTTCTTTTTCCGCCTTAATTTCTGAGGTGAACGCTTCCTCTTTAACAATGCAAGACACCTTCAGCTGCTCCAGGTCCTCTTGCAGCAGCCTTTTCCTCTTGTGTCTTATTTCGCCATGGAGAGTGGAAGCGATGGCGACAGGGTTGAGAGTCTCAGAATCTGCAAACTTCTCTACTGCCAGCAGTGTTCTCTTCATTTCTTTGCCCCTGTTGATAAAAACCTTCTTGAGATTTTTCTGCTTTTCCAGCTCAGCTTTGGTGTCTTTCAGCTCTTTCTCCAGACTGATCACCTTTTGGTTCTCTTGAAACCACTTGGCTCGCTCCATTTCCAAGAGAGAGCCAAGTCTCTGGAGTTCTCTCTGGAGCTCAGCGGGAGACGCTCTGTTCTCACTCCATCCTTGATGTTGTTGTCCACCTCTCCACTCCCTCGGCTGGGATCTGAACCCGCCTTTGGGATGCTGTGGCCTTTGATACGGCATATCTCGATCTGCAAACAATGTCAACCTCGACTTTATTGGCGCTTTGCGTACGTCTGAACTGGTCATCGTGTAGCTAGCAATGAGCAGAAGGTGGAAGTTTGCTACATAAGAGAACAGAGACGATGACATCACAAGCATGACTAGTTGTGACATCATACAAAGAGTGGTGACCATGGAGATCTCTGCCGCACTAATCAGCAGCCCCTCACCTTCCTTCCTGTATCAGATGGAGATGCGCTGTTGACGTGGCTGTCGTTTATTTTTCCTGTCGATTTTTGTTCATGTTCGTTTTTCTTTCTTTTTGTTGCTTTTTGGGACACGTTACATGAGTCATCAAAATGTCAGACAGCAACACTGTTTTCAGTCACAGTCTTCTTCAGATTCGCTGGAAGATTGAACCCTGGAGATCCTTCCTGCCATCCACCAACGAACCTTGAACATTCTTGGATGAGATATTTAAGGGTTATTGCATCAAACCAGAGTTTGGGAGCTAGAACTTTAGATTTGGTGAATATATAATGTTAAGAAAGAAAGTCGGTTTTCTGGTTCTGCACTGTGGCTGTTAGTGATAAGGTGCATTTTCAGCCATTAAGGAGAGATGAGAGAGGATGATAAATCACTGAATAGTCCTGAAAAATGTTTATATATATATCTGTACATATACATACATGAATATATCTGTACATATATACATATATTTACATATGTATATAAACATATATATGTATACATACATATATTTATGTATGTATGTATTGTTGTTGTCAAAAGTTTACATACACTTGTAAAAAACATAATGTCATGGCTGTCTTGAGTTCCCAATAAGTTCTACAACTTTTCCTTTTCTGTGATAGAGTGATCGAGACACATACCTGTTTGGCACAAAAAACAGTCATAAAGTTTGGTTCTTTCATAAATTTATTATGGGTCTGCTGAAAATGTCACCAAATCTGCTGGATCAAAAATATACATACAGCAACATAAATGGTAAATTTTGGTGATATAGAGAGTTGTGTCAATCAAATTAGCTTCATGTCATGGTCTCTTCACTTCTTGTAAGTGATTCTGATTGACTACAGTTGTTTACTGTTCTTGAGCCCATTGAAATAGGGCTCATTTGACCCTGTGATTAGACTCAGCCTCAAAAGCTACAATGGGAAAGTCAAAGGAACTCAGTGTTGATCTGAAAAAGTGAATTATTTACTTGAACAAGTCAGGGAAGTCACTTGGAGCCATTTCGAAACTGCTACAGGTCCCAAGAGAACTGTGCAGACAATTATTCGCAAGTATAAAGTGCATGGAACAGTTGTGTCACTGTCACGATCAGGAAGAAAATGCAAGCTATCACATGCTGCCGAGAGGAGATTGGTCAGGATGGTCAAGAGCCATGGACTGAGAGGCTGCCGTGCAAGAAAGAAGCCCTTGCTCCAGAAAAGGCACCTTAAGACTCGGCTGAAGTTTGCTGCTGATCACATGGACGAAGATAAAACCTTCTGGAGGAAAGTTCTGTGGTCAGACAAAACAAAAATCGAGCTGTTTGGCCACAACACCCAGCAATATGTTTGGAGGAGAAAAGGCGAGGCCTTTAAAAGTGTAAGTGAAAAAAGTGTATGATAAAGAGCTATTTAGTAGGTGAAAAATGTGAGTGCCAACCAAAACAGAGACTTTTATAATGTTTTAGCTTTAACTTTTAAATTTGAGCTTTAACCACAGAAAGCTACATAATTTTTTAAAGTTTAATTAGTAATAGTTTTATATCAAATTGGTCAGATCATGATTTCTTAGTTAATGTCAAGTTGTCACAGCGAAGAAATATTGAATAATGTCAACTTGAAAGTGTCATGATTTACCGAATGACACTTTATGACAAAAGTCATAAATATTCACAAAGACTTACTTCATATTTGTGACTGGCGTTATATCATGTTTATGACGGTGTCTTATTCACAACTCGTCAAATAAAGTTAAATTCTTTCTCTTAAACTAATACATTATGTTGTTTATGTGAACAGTTCTCAATCGAGCCACTGTGACCCTGAACCCAAACTGGCCTCTGATATACAAAGGTGAGAAAGTTATTCTCCAGTGTGAGATCCCAGGAGGAGAAGGAAGAAAATGGACCTTTGAATGGAGACCAACCAGGTTAAATGAACCTCAAACATCCCAGGAATACATTATCATAACTTCAGCTAAAGAGTCTGATAGTGGAGAATACAGCTGCAGAGGAACAAGTGGAGATGACTCAACAGACTGGAGCGATGTGGTCGTATTAACTGTGTGTAAGTTGATCAAAAATCATAAAATAAATATTTAATGTGTTTGGTATGAGTAAGCTGAGTGTGTTTTTCTGGACCTATGTTTACATAGCAATTGTTATCAGTGTTAATATTTTAGATATTTCAGCCACTAATTGGTCTCATCCTTTTTCCAACGTTGTTCTTCCTTAATTGTACAAATGGACGAAATTACAATTTAATGTATGTCTTGAGTTCAGCACAAAAGTTTGATTTAACTCAAGTCTGTCTTAGTTTTAAAGGTATATCGCTATTGATAGTTATGCAAGAGTAGATAATTAAAATAGGATGTAAGAGTAAGATACAAACTAACATTTCTCTCTGAGTTCATTCTAAGGCGAGAAATTGAAATAAACATTTAAGAGTGTTTTTTAAAAATGTAGTTAGGAGGCATTAAAATCTTTTTTAATATGCTACAACTCGAAAATATTCTAGTTTGTCAAACTATATTTCTTTAAATTGAAGCCTTTGGGTTACATAGAAATATTATAACACTTGACTGTTTGAAAAGTAACAGTGTTGAAAACATTAATGTGACTCTCCAACAGATGAACTCTCTGTGTCTCCATCATGGCTGAGTCCTGGAGCCTCAGTGACTCTGAGCTGTCAGGTTGAACCTTCACCTTCAGGAACCAGGTTCTTCTGGTATAAAGCTGTTCCTGATCCACCACGCAGATCCTACAGCTATGAGCTGCTGCCTGGCAGCTCTGATGGGACTGATGAGAATTTCTACATTGTTCATGGACTCAATAATACAGCAGGTTATGTGTGTGAAGCAGGACGTGGAAAACCAAACTACAGAAATCCAAGTTTTGTCTTTTCAGCAGGTCAGTTTGTTTTGATGTGTCTCCTTTCAATGAGCAAGTAATGATCTGTTTACATTGTTCCTATTCAGCCATGCACTTTATCTTTAGCAGTAAATTAATTACATTGATTTATTATCAAAGTAAAGAAGAAATGTCAAAGTTTTTATCTTGATTTTCATACAGTTTTGAATTTTAAATCCAAAGCAGCAATAAAAACATAAAATGAAAAAGTGAAAAGTAAAAGTTTTGGTGCTTTTGACAAAAACAGGCCACCTCCAAAATCACTCATAAACCGCAGTTTGTGTCTTTTGAGACAAGTTTTTGTTGAAGACATTTTATATGATTAGTTTTTTGCTATGATAAGATTCATATTTGACTTAAGACAATAAATATATTTTCAGCTTTATTCAGCATTTTTGTAAGTGGAGTTATTTTATTGTGCTATAAAATGGCACTATCTGCCTGGAAAATACATAAAACTGCCCCTTTAAAAATGTCCCACCCTTACGCCATCAGTCCACAAAATGTTCCAATTTAGACGAATTTAGTAATTTGTAGCATCGGGGCGTCATATGAACTACAAGCACAAACTTTAGAACTGGACGTCACTTATATGAACGAGGCAACACAGTTATGATTGCAGATCTTTGACTTTATTCCACCAACAGTGACAACCAAAGACACATTCATCATGTCTTATGTCTAAAGCACCGAAACTAGACATCTGAAAAAAAAATATTTTCTGAAAACTAAACAAATGATTTTTCAGTATCAAGATTTGGACTTAACCTCTGAAATTACAGCAGGTGATATCCAATTCTACAGACTCCAAAAGGGACACAGTTGGTTAAATAATCAACACAAACATATTAAAGCCCTGGTACTAGCATGTTTCCTAACTGATTCAAATGAACATCAATAAGACTGATCTATTAATTCATCTTTGGCAATAAAATCGGTTCTGAATCATCAGTTTTTTGCTTCACAAGCTTTTAAGCACACAGCCACACCACAACCCTGCTGGCCATTAGCAACGCCGTGACTGCTGTTGTTTTTCTGGCATCACAGCCACATCAGGCTAACAGCACGATGCTATCATTAAACAACAATTTAGTTTCACATAAGTCACAGTTTTAGGCCTGCTGTGAAGGCCACAAAACTTTGCATAATGACGCGTAGAGGAACGATGTCAGACACGTACAGAACAAATGAATCGTGACTTTGCAGAGCTCCCTATCAGAGCTAACAGCAACACCTTCTCTATGTGGTCAGTAAATGTGCTCAGCTCTAAATGAATAACAAGCAATACTTGTGAGAGTGTGGAAAGTAGTGCAACAATAGTGGTATTACTGTGGTTAGTGTAGTTGCCATGTGCATCAACTTGTCTAGCTACTTTGTAGCATCATGTTTAGTTGTAGTTACACCTGCAGATCTTTTACAAAAAGTCTCCATGAGCGTCACAAACTTGGTTTTTAAAGCATTCCTTGTAAAAGAGCTTCACCTTAGAGTGGATGACTGATGCTAAAACAATGCAGTACAAGGATATAATATTGTATTTATAAACACATTTTAAAAGAACAAGCTCTCTAATAATTTTTGCACCACAATTTCATGCATATGCAGAAATCCACATCACCTATTTACATCTGTGCAATTTTGGTTGAGTGTTTTTTAAAGGCCAAGCGCAGATCTTTGCACATGAAACAAGTGAACATGCAGCGGACAGGAAGCATAACGGCTTCTAATAACTGCTGACACCAAAGCGGGGAGGAAACCGACAGTCTACACATAGGTAGGTAGACCTCGCATTTGATCTGCATGTGAGGATGGGGAACGAGCTGCTGCTGAGGCTGAACTTATTCGGTAAGTAAATGACTGAATCTCTATTGGCATTTTATATAAAAGTGTAAAACTGGTTGAAAATGTTCATATGGCACTTAAAGTAACATTTTAATGGCCCAGTTAGGCAATGTGAGTTAATAAAAAAGCTATTTTCATGTGAAAATACAAATGTTTAAATGTAATATCACTAATTGTGTCAGTTTGATAGAAATGTGTCTCCTAAAGAAGTTTATCTTTGTTTCAGTGCTCTGTGTGATCTTTTATGGAAACACTGAAGGTGAGAAATATATTTCATTTTTTCTCATTTAGTTTCTGTAATGTATTGATGTTTTTTTTATCAGATTTTTCATTTTAATACAGTTAGTATGATGTTTTGTCTAGTGTTGCAGCCCTATTAAGTATAAGTACAAATTTATAGGCAAGTGAAACTAAACTAACAACCAGTGACTAGATGTTTTTTTATAGTTCGACTTTTCCCTTCTGGCTGTCAGCTAAAACCCAATGTACCGACCACAACCACCACAGGATCTCACCAGCACCTAAAACAGGATGCATCGTTTTTAACCACTTAAGTTTCATGCTCTGACTAAAAGAACAAAGTTAGTTACTGAACTAACTGGTGACTAAACTAACCAGTTACTGAACTAACTGGTGACTAAACTAACCAGTTAGTGAGAGATTTGTGTGAATTTGACAACACGGCCATATAACCATACATTAGTCTGCTGATAATTATGTATTAATTAATATACCTGACAACAGTTCAGTTGTGACTGACAATTTCATCCATCTGTTTCACAATTTACCATCAGCTGCAGTCTTAAGGTATCCTCATATGTTATACTGTTTGGCCCAGCTATAATTAAGATAATTAAGTTCCAGTTGCTAACCTGAAAATGGCTGGCAAATCTAAAGAGCAGGATATAATCTACAATTTAAAAAATGACAACAAAAAAACACATAGCTTTTGTACTTTGGGCAAAATACTCGCGTTGGGTTTCAATCATCTGGAATGTCCAATTAGAGAAAGAGGACTAACAGCTTCCTGGTCTAAATTACTCTCCGTTTGTTCTGCAAAAATACTGATCAGGGGCATGCTGTGGTGGCGTAGGGGTTTAGCACAACCCACGTATGGAGGCCTTTGTCCTCGACGCAGCCGTTGTGGGTTCGACATTTGCCACATGTGTTCCTCTCTCTCTGTGTCCCCTCTTTCCTGTCAGCCTACTTAAAAAAAAAAAAAGAAAAAAAGATACGGGCCACAAGAGCCAACAAAAAATCCTCAGAGAAAAAAAAAGTTTGAACATGGCTGATCAATTCTGTTAGTCAGAATTGATGCAACTGTTTGGTTCACAAATGAAGTTTTGAGACAGGAAAGCAGAACATCCTGAAATAATGTTCAATAATAACTCCACATAGTGACCCCAGAGAAACATTTATAAATTCTCAACTTTTACTTTTACCAATACAAAAAAACTATGATGTGACTCTAATTTATATCATTATTAAGTTATCATGATGATAGTTTCTGAGCTCTCAGGGTTTCTCTGACAGCTCACCAACGGCGATGTCTTTTCCTATGACACTTCAAAATCCCAAACTATTTTACCTGACAATTATAAATGATTGTGATTTAGCTCTAACAATCAGCCATGATAACATTCCTGCTTTATTGTTTTCTAACTTTTCAGAATGGGAAGACAAAGTCACTCTGACAGCAGACGCCCAGATCATTCAACGTCCAGGAGGAAGTGTGACTCTGACCTGTCATGCAAACAAACCTGCTGCTTTAAAATATGAGCTTTATAGACGCTCCTCATTCCAAGATAGGGAGACATTTACCAATAGATCAAATGGAGTTTTCAGGATTACTGAAGGAGGGATCTACAGATGCAGAGAATTTACAGAGAGATTCCTCACACCTATGAGCGATGATGTCACCATTAAGGAGAATGGTGAGTTCTAAGCTTTAAGGTAAAACAATAAGAATTGAGTCCCATATGTAGGACAGATTGTTACTCTGCTAAATGACTGATTTTAGACTTATTGTGTTATCAAATTGAACATGTATATTGATAACGTAAGACTAATGAGAATTAATCAACAAAAGATTAAACTAAACATCTTTCAGCTGATAAATAGCACTGCTCAAAGATACAATATGAGGTACTTTCATTCTACACTTCAAGACGTTTAAGTTGTTACAAGATTTTAAATTTTACATAATAAATAATCTAAGGTAGCACAGGTTTGAATGGAAAATATTTCATATTCTTACAACACATAAAAATTCTTGCTACAAAACAGAACAATGTAAATTTACACATTTTCTACAGGAAACAAAAAGACGTTTTTGTATTTGGTTTTTCTTGCGTCTAACTGTCCATTTGCTGTATTGACAGTTTCCAACAGAGTTTCAGTGACTATGGAGCCCAACTGGTCTCAGATATTCAGAGGAGAGACGGTCACTCTGAGATGTGAGATCAGAGGAGGTGAAGGAACTCAGTGGACGTATGAATGGAGACCAAGCAACAGAAACTCTCCCACATCCAGTGAATACTGGATCAACTATGCTACTCAATCTGACAGTGGAGAATACAGCTGCAGGGCTAAACATGGCTATCAGCTAACAGAGTGGAGTAATACCTTTAGACTGTCAGTGTTGTGTGAGTTAAATTCTCCTCTTTTCAAGCTTATCTTCATTGTTTATAGAAAAACTAAAAACTTTAACCAATTCCCCCTTTTTAAAATAAGCAGCTTCAGTTAAACACTTTATTTTGTTTACTTGTGTTATTTTTTTCAATTATGTTTAATTGAGAATCTGAAATGTGTGACAAACATACAGAATGGCAAGAAATCTTCAAAGGGGGAAAGGCTTTTCCTCATAAGTGCAGAGAGAAGATACAATCAACATTTAAATGAGAGTGAAAGTGAGCTGGACAAACTCAGTTATATTTAGATTAATAGAAAATCATAGCTACAGTACATGGGAAAGGAGAAGACAATGCAAACTATCATTTTAAATACTTTTATTGACAAACTAAATAGAAGAACTGGATAAATCGTGGGTTTTAATCAGGCATTTTCTGTTTTTCATGTGATAAATTACTGACTTCATTCTGTCAGAAGAGAAAGAGGAAACATCACAAGTTGAATTTTCTTTCTATTTTGTGGGAAACGTCCAGATCACCAGAAAGAGCAGGTTCATTAAACATATGCCGTTAAACCAGTTAGAAAGTAATACATGACAAGGGATTTTGTATTTTAATTTCCATTTTCTTTTTCTTATGTTTTAAGTAGAATTTTCTGATATGTGGTCATATAATATAAATTACACCATAAGAGCTAAAGACAAGCTTAGACTCTACAAATTGGTTTGCATCTGTTAATGATCTGCCCATGATCTCTTTTCTTCAACTCAACAGTACAGAAGCCCAGAGTCAGAATGACAGCAGTAAACACAATCATACCAGCAGGGGGCAGTGTAACACTGAGGTGTTCAGTGGACGGCTCTGCTGATTGGAAGATTTACTGGGTCAGACAGGAGTTTGAGTCTTCTACAACTACCAGTATTAAAAACAATGAACCAAATGGAGTCCTCATTGTCTCAGCTGGAGGTCTGTACAGCTGCAGAGGAGGAAGAGGAAATCCAGTTTTCTACACTGAAACCAGCAATAAGATCACTATTCAGGAAACTGGTGAGTTTAGTTATCAGCTTGTCAATAAAACATCAAGCATAATTTATTATTCATTAAGTTGTTACATAAATGGAGACATTAAAACAACTTTGATATGTACTACATATACTTGACGTTGAAATAAGTATTTTAAAAATATTTAAGCTTTAAAATTGTATATTTGATTTCTTTGTTTTACTATTGCTATTATTCAAGAATAGCAATAGTAAAACAGTTATCTTGTCAAATTGACTTAAGTGAATTAAAAAAAAAAAACATTTTCATCATTGTTTTTGTCTCTTTAACTTCTTTATGCAAACAGTTTCCATTAAACCCACTGTGATGCTGCAACCCAACTGGCCTCACATATACATTGGAGAGAAAGTTACCCTTAAGTGTGAGATTCAAGATAGAAGTTTTAGGAATGGAAGAAAGAAATGGAGAAAAAATAACTTGGAAAAACCTGGAATGTCCCAAGAATACACGATCACCACTGCAACACAATCCGACAGCAGTGATTACATCTGCAGAGCAGAAGACGGGTTCTCCTTATCAATGTGGAGTGATGTTTTCACTTTAGTTTTATGTAAGTTGGTCATTTTTTATATTAATATGAAAATTATGTTAATTTCGCTGCTCTTTCATTTTATTTAATTAGAAGTTGTCGTTGAACTTTTAAATGGTTTGCATCTTTTAATGATTTGCCCAAGTCCTCTTTTCTTCAACTCAACAGTACGGAAGCCGAGAGCCTCAGTGACAGCAGAGAACACAATCATACCAGCAGGGGGCAGTGTAACACTGAGGTGTTCAGTGGACGGCTCTGCTGATTGGAAGATTTACTGGGTCAGACAGAAGTTTGAGTCTTCTACAACTACCAGTATTAAAAACAATGAACCAAATGGAGTCCTCATTGTCTCAGCTGGAGGTCTGTACAGCTGCAAAGGAGGAAGAGGAAATCCAGTTTTCTTCACTGAAACCAGCAATGAGGTCACTATTTGGAAAACTGGTGAGTTTAATTATCAACTTGTCAATAAAACATCAATCATATTTTAAAGATTCAATCTGCCTATTTCTGTAAAACAAAATTATAAATGGAATGCAACATAATGTTGGATAATAACTGATAAAATAGTTGTGTCAGAACAACAACGTTAGAGTCAAAAGATGAAAACAAACAGAAAATTAATAAAATGATCCAACTGTTTCTTTCAGTAAGATTTTCTGCGATATATAAACCTCATGGTCTTTTTATCCTACTAACATGTTTTAACTATACAACGGCTGATTCTGTATCTGTTGCCTGGTCATGTTCTTCAGCCATGATCTGTTTGTGGGAGTTCAGATTGAGAATTCCTATCAGAAAGCTTCTGTTTTACTACGAAACTAAAAGTTTATAATAGTAAACTATGGGACTAAAAAACATGTTGTTTAATGAATCAGTCACCTCATAAACAAGGAAAAGTTTCAAAAACTTTTTGTCCTTTTCTAACTAAGGAGACAGGAGTTTTCTGATTCCTTTCTGGACATTTGTTAGAAACACCTGGAGAGGTGGTAGAGGTCAAACAAGGGTCAGGGCTGGAAAAGGCAATAACTTAATATTCAGAAATTAGTTATATTCCTTAGATGTCAAGAGATGCATAAGCCATGATGTTATGTAAGTGGTGGGTGATGCACTTCTATTGTCAATATGTTTGAACAATATAATCTTGGGAATGTTTGGCACGTAGCTATCATGCTACTTGGGCCAGGGAGCATCAAATTTCATTAATGACAAATTCCAGCACAAGACATTTTCCAAAAATGAGCAGAGTTGATAAAGAGACCAGTTTCTTCTGCAGTAGTTCACCAGTTTAATTAGGAACATTGCCTTTGGCTGTTGTCAAATAATTAAAGCTGCACTATTGGTTTTATATCAGCAAACATGTAAAGAAGCAAGAAGTTAAGGTGTTTGATGTTGATGTTTATGAGAAAATAAACTCTCTCCTACAGATAAACTCTCTGTGTCTCCATCATGGCCGAATCCTGGAGCCTCAGTGACTCTGAGCTGTGAGGGTTTGGAGCTTCAATCAGCAGGATGGAGGTTCTTCTGGTATAAAGCTGTTCCAAACGCAAACAGCAGTTACTACACCTATGAACTGCTTCCTGACAGCACCAATGGGACTAAGCAGAACACCTACGTCATTAATGGATCGACTCACACAGCAGGATATGTATGCAGAGCAGGAAGAGGAGAACCAAAGTTTTACACTTACTACAGTAAACCAGAGTTTGTCTGGTCAGCAGGTCAGTTTATTTCACTCTTTCTTTCAACTTTCATCAATTGTTATGTAAAAAATGGAGTATATTCCCTTAGTAATATAATTCTGATGTTCAGTATCTGATATGCACAACTATAGTTCATGTGGTTAAGGCTCTGGATAAATATCTAGATTGAATGTTTGATTGGTAAAATATTGGACAGAATGACAAACTTCACAGCTTTGCAACAAGAAGGAACCAGTGAAGGTCCTGAGTTCTTATCTCTCCAGTCTTTCTGAACGAAGTTATACCTCTGATTTTTGATGTATAGAAATATATCAATAGCTTCCTTACTGATATATTTCTCAATGGTTGAATAGCTTTCTGTCTAAATAGTTTAAGGAATATTGCAATTATTAAAAGAAATTAAGTATGAGGTATGCATTAATTTCATTTAGTTGATTAAATGTTCTGGTTTTCTGTATAAAGGTAATACCTTAATCATGTGAAGTAAAACATTGTACATACTTTTGTCTTGAAGTAAAATCTTTAAAAATGTATTTTGTTTTTCAGGTTCAGCAGCAGCTTCTCTCACTGTGAGTCCTGACAGAGTTCAACACTTTAGGTCTGAATCCGTCACACTGACTTGCAAAGGAAACTCCACTGACTGGAGAGTGAAGAGGTTTACAGAAACAGGCCGACTGTCAGACTTTACCTGCTCCACCTGGGGGACAATGACTGGATCTACATGCGCCATCAACAAGTACTGGTCTGATAGTGGAGTGTACTGGTGTGAGTCTGGATCAGGAGAGTTCAGCAATGCAGTGAACATCACTGTACATGGTGAGTTATTATTTCTTGTTTTGTTATTACACACTTTGTACATAAAAATAATCAAAATTTTTACTCTCTTTTCATCCCAGTACATTGTTAACTGAAACCAATTTATTATTATTGACATTAATTTGTTTACTTTTAGTTAGGAATCCATAATAATGACTGTCAAGTCTTGTATATTTACAGCTTTTCTCTACTTTATATGTGCAGAAAGTGATACAATTCACGTTTAGGTATTCTTTGATTTGACTTGAAATTGAGTGTTAAATCTTGGCAAAAGAAAAAACTGCTTTGTATTTGATTATTTTTTAACTGAAGTTTCTCTGTCACCTCTATTTCTAAAAATCACCTCTGAAATGTGATATTATATTTTTTACAGGTTATTATTATGATGATATTATCCTGGTGAGCCCTGTTCATCCTGTGACTGAGGGAGATCCTGTTACTCTGACCTGCAGAAATAAAGAAAAACTTCGTCTCTCCAATGTGTTTTTCTATCATAATGATAAACTCATCAATAATGACAGCAGAGAGGAGCTGAATATCTCTGCAGTGTCAAAGTCAGATGAAGGTTTCTACAAATGTAAACATTCAGGAAAAGAGTCACCAAGGAGCTGGATGTCTGTTAGAGGTGAGGAGGGATAAAATATTTGATGGATTTTATTTATTCATTCTTAATGAACGTAGGTGAAACCTGGCTGTCAGTAATTCATATTCAAATTTTTCTTTCTTGTACATTGGTTTAAAAGTCCTTCAAAAGTTCACTTTTCTCTCATACATGTGAAAATTGGTAGATTTACACCACAAAAACATTTTAAAGAAGATTTTTCAGTATATCGTATTGGAAAATAATATTGGAGAGAGAAATCAAGTTGCTGCAGTTGAGTCAACAATACAAAACAGTGTTGATTGGATGGACATTGCTGTACCTTTTTTAATAGAAATAAGATCTTAATTCACTCCAACGTTTATGACCTGGCCTTGCTTTTTGTCATTTGGTATCATCATCAAAAATACATTTGAAAAACACAAACAAGTGTTTAGTGTTAAGATATTATTGGGGAAACGTCATGTTTTCAATGCAAACAGAGAATAGGCTCATATAACTCAATAAATAATTTGCTTTCTTTTCAATGTTTTTCTTATTTCCAGTAGCTGTGTCCAGTCGTGGCAGTTCTACATTTCCTGACAAGCTGATCGTTGGACTGGTTGTTGGAATCGTTCTCATTATTCTCATTATTCTCCTGCTCTTGTTGTGGCGCTGTCGTCGGTCCAAAGGTGAGATCAGAAAAACTCTTACTTAAAACATCAAACCACATTTTGTTGTTGTAGCAACATGGCAGCTTGAACAACAAGATAATATAACTATTGTCTTTTACAGACTCGTGGTGTATCAGGTTGGTGCCACACATTGCCATATTTCACCCCAGATGTGCATCAATAATAGTTTGTTGACTCAAATTCACCGTTTCAGCTCCAGTCAGTCCAACAGAAATGATGTCATCAACCAGACTGAAAGCCATGGTTACAACACTCTTCGTCTCGGTCAGAATTTGATATTAATTATTTTCATGTTTTTTCTTTCCTACCAGACAATAATTTATGCCAACAAAAAGGAAACTAAGTGCTAATTTTACTATTTAGTTGTAGAAGTTGTTACTTTGTTGATCAAGTTTGTTTGTTTCTTTTCCTGCTCTTTAGGTGATGTTGGTATCTATGGGTCAGTCACATCCCAGGGAGCTGCAGGAGATGGTAATGTATTTTTTTTTAAATTGAGTGATAATGGTAGTTATGTATTATATGAGTCCACTTAGGAAAACAACACACAGCATATAAAAATACCACAACATTATTTTCTTTAATTTATTGTTTTTCTGGATCATGTTATGAGGGAAACCTCGTGAACCAGACGTGTTAACCTTCCTCGATCCTTTTAAAATATGTTTATATATTTTTCTACACTTTAGGTGACACTCACTTCTACGAGTCAGTTCAATACCCCGAAAGTGGAGGAGAAAGTATTAATTTTCAAAGACTTGATGATGTAATGAGCCTGATCATCAGTAACTGACGTATCGTCCCGTATTTTATTTGCAGAAGAACCTGAAGGTCCTGCATATTCTCTTATTGAAGTGACGAAAGCAGGACACAAGAGTGAGTCTCAAACAGCACAGAACGAGCAGCTGGAGACGAAAACGCTCAACACTTTTGACCCTGTCTTGTTTTTATAGGGGGCCTCATGAGCGCACTCCTTACTCTGTACTGAGAACAGGAGATTCAGGTACAATCAGCCACAATAGTTGATCTTTTTACTGAAATACATCTTCGTGACATCATGCCGCAGCTTAATATGATTTGCATCAGTTGGTCTGTTTCATACGTCTGTCTGTCAGCTGTTGTTATAATTCAACAGTTTTCCAATAAACTGATGATTTTATAATTTTATTTTCCATTTTTATACTTATAGTATAAAAAGTTTCCCGGCTGCAGAATAAGGAACTGCAGAGTGACGTTTGTCTTTCATCCGTTTTGAGTTTTGCGTTAAACTTATGTCGGCATCGTTATTAAAGATTACCTTGACAAATATTTTCAGCAAACCGTCTCTCCGTTTCCAGGATCATGGAGTCCTGCTGCAACAGATGAGGCTGTTTATTCAGAAATCACCATGGATACCGCAAGCTAAGCTGGATCACGCTGCTAAATACGAGATAAACTTTGCTTTAAAGAAAGCTGCATTTATGAACATGAAGCATTTTGTCAATAAAACGAAAAAATCTAATATAATATGTTTCATAGTTTTGATGACATACATGCTGATGAAGGACCAATATTGGTTTTGAGCATAATCTATCGGCTTTTTGTTTTAATTCATGTTTGAAAATTTGCATGTAGGGAGAGGAAAAAGTGAGATTTTTGAGCTTCTAACTTAGGAGCTTTTTTGCCTGACTAATTTTAAAACAATATTAATTTTTCACATAGCATAGATAAACTTATTCGTCATTAAATCTGAGCCACAATCCCCAGAATTACAAGCAATAAAGTTTTAAATATCTCACTCTGTGTAATGAACCTATGTACTTTCTGAGGTAAGTTTTCCATGACATTTAGATTTTTCGAGTTGTGATTGTATATCATCACCTTCCTCAAGTAATGACCTATGTCTTTTTTTTTCTCTTTTTTTTTTTTACCAGAAGAAATTTTTCACTTTTGTTGAAAAACAAATGCAAAACAACAACTAAGGCCATCATTTTAGGAAGGTGACACTAAAGGAAGTAGTTTGCACAAGACACTTGTGCAACTTTTTCTTTTTTTGCAGGCGAAAAACAAGTTTAGTTAAAATGTGTGTAATTGAGCAATAACAGCTTTAGACCCTCTAAATTTATTCAACAAACCTATCAGATTGCGTGCAGCGCGCTTCGGCTGCAGAGGAGTCAGAAACCCCTGCAGCCGATAGGACGCATAAATATTGAGCAACCATTGCGGTCAAAGCTGCTGCAGTTTTTAAAACTGAGTAATGGGAAGGAAACACGTAGACAGCTATGAAGAAGAAGTATTCTGGGAACTTCTCTTTTTTTCTCACAAGATAGAAGATTTCCTGGTTATAGTTGTTCAGCAGGTCGAGATGTGAGGATGGGAAACACTTGGCTTTACGCGCTATTCTGTGAGTACATTTATTAACGTTAAAAATACATCATTAGATGAACTAAGATTTTCTTAAAATGCCTCCTTGTCTCTAAATAAAGAGATACTGCAAGTATCAGCTGTATTGTTGTATTAAACACTTTCAGAAATGTTCGTAAATGCCAGTTTTTCTCTCTTATTGCATTTTTGTTTCTTCCCGATTGACCCGTTGTTCTGACTTTGTCCTAAATGTGTCTGGTTTATTTCAGTGTTCAGCTCAGTCATCAGTGGATACGTCAATGGTGAGACACATTTCCTAGTTCTGTGGTCTTGACTTTTCATGCCTAATATTTTATTAATAGTGGTATCTATCGAACTGCTGGTGGAATTGTGAAACTTCTTGTGTAAATAGCAGAAACACGAAGGTATTTCTGTGGAAAGACCTGAACTCTCTTCATAACCCACAAAGTTCAAAGTCGAGACGCAAGGAGCCACGATGTCATTGCGAAACCTTAAAATATTGCTAGAGTGAATGAGAAGCCGCAATATATTTTACTTTCTTTTGGCTTTATTATTCATTGGTAAGAACAATTGTTGGGTTTTCCGACAGAGAATAACATTTGTATTAAAAATCTGCACTGCTGTTTGAAGAAACTCACAAATCTTTTGGAGTGTGACGACAAAGTTCTCCAAAGATCTGGAGACGAAACGAACCCACAGGACCAAAGATCGTCCAGTATACCAGCGTCAGCTGCTGACCTTTTACTGCTACGTTTTTGTGCTGCTTGTTTCACCTCAAACCAACCTGAAGTTTTATTTCCAGGTTGTTTTGGAAGTAAAACTCTGAACCAATAAGACGAGAGCAAAAACTGCTCCATATGAGCCTGAAAGTTTATCTATCTTCTCATGCTTGATAAGGTTTCTGTTGGTTTGCAGACTGAATGAAGACACAGGAAACTGTTCACTGAGAATATATGCAAACGTTTGTGAGGTCAACAAGTCACAGTTTGCAAAATTAACCAGATTCAACATTTTTGTGTATGGCATCCTCAAACCTTATTAAACCAGCTGGAAACATGATTTCTATTAATCTCTGGTTGAGAATGTATGGAGCTCCTAAAGGGACATTAAAGTGAAGATGAAAAAAATGAACTTTCTTGGGCGTACCAGATAATATGCGACACCCACAGGATAGTATCTGGTTACGCACAAGATGCTATCTGGTGTCTGGTGCACAGGAGAGAGCATCTTTCCTTTTTCTGTTTTTTCTTCAATGTCTCTTTAATAAATTGCTGCATTGATGTTAATAGACTATTTATTAATGCATGTGTATTTGAAAAGAGAAGTAAACAAATTCAGAGGAACACACGTTTGGGATGGGAAAACTGCTCAATATGAGCCTGAAAGTTTATCTATCTTCTCATGCTTGATAAGGTTTCTGTTGGTTTGCAGACTGGATGAGAACACAGGAAACTGTTCGCTGAGAATATAAGCAAACATTTGTGACATTTCGTCCTATAATAGCATAACCACATTTTAATATTTATATATATTTTAAAGCATCCTTGTGTTTTCAACATGTCTATGAATTTGCAACGGCAGGATAGATTAAGAGTTTTCAAACTCCTATTAGGTTTTAATCTCTTCTCAACCTAAAAATCTGCTGGACAGGAATTGAACATGTCGATGTTTGAGTTGCTCATTGTGACGTTGTGGTCTGCAGTGGCATTGTGGGTACAGGTTCAATCCTGAGAGGTTTGAATCTCTCAGGGTTGAAGAGGTTCAAACGCATGCACGTTAAAACATGCATGTGTTTCAACGTGAAACAAATGCATTCCTGTCTGGTCTGATCCACCGTAGTGACAAAACTAGACAGTAGTGACTAGAACAACACGCTGGAATCTCTCTTTGTCTCAAATCTAACTATAATTTTTCTCTTCAAACTGTAAAAAGTAAAAAAAAATGATGCATGAACTTAAGTTTGAAATATTTTGACAGGACACAGAAAAGCAAATGGTCCAGATGATCCAAGACAACCACATGGACAAAAACATGCAAAACAAGCAGGATCCCCTAAAGGAACTGAAGGTACTGGTTGTTTTTACAGACATCATCAATTTGTTTATTATTGTTTTGTATATTTTAGCCCCTGCACTATGTAAATGTATTTTCTGTTCCAATCTATGATTGAATGAAGGGCGTGTTGGTGACCAAAATACCTCATCAGGGTCCCTAGAAACTCTTGCTGAACCTGAACAGCAAGGTAAACTTCCTCCATCTTCATCTACAGTCACAATTTACTGTTTTTAACATGATATGCTTTGGGATATTTATTTATTTAATACATGATGCAACAAATGTGTCTGCCAAGCAAAACTCAACTAAATGGGGGTTTGATGCTATGGTTGGTGGAGAACTTAAGTGGAAATATACTGGTGCACAGAGTTCTGTTTTAGTCATAATTCAACTTTAGACCAACAAAAAATATACATGTTTTTGCTGATTCACTGTTTCTTTTAAACTAATACATTATGTTGTTTATGTGAACAGTTCTCAATCGAGCCACTGTGACCCTGAACCCAAACTGGCCTCTGATAACAAAGGTGAGGGAGTTATTCTCCAGTGTGAAATCCCAGGAGGAGAAGGAAGAAAGTGGACCTTTGAATGGAGACTAACCAGGTTAAATGAACCTCAAAGATCCCAGGAATACATTAACATATTTTCAGCTAAAGAGTCTGATAGTGGAGAATACAGCTGCAGAGGAACAAGTGGAGATGAATCAACAGACTGGAGCGATGTTGTCGTATTAACTCTGTGTAAGTTGATTATAAATATTTCATATAAAAAACTTATTGCACATTTTTTAACATGTTTGATGCAAATAAGTGATAATTAGTTAAAAGGTCAATGTTTTTTTTTCATCATCATCATGTTTGTTCTTTAGACAGTCCTGATAAACTGGTTGGTCAGATTTTTTGGATTATCAACCAGTTCTTCCTTATCGATACAAAACGACTAATATTTTAATTAAAATACATGTTACAAGTTGAGCATAAATGTTTGTTTCCCCCAGAGCTGTCTTAGTTTTAAAGGTACAAACCTTTAGTTAAAGGTATATTGTTGACAGATGTACAAAAACAGCTACTATAAATAAAAACAAATTTTCTCATTGAGTCATTTCTGACGGTTTGAGAAAATGAAATATTTCAAAGTTAGAACTGCATGAATTCCTTCATAAAGTGCAGAAGAGTTAGAGGCAAAAAGTGCTTTTTACTAACTGTCTGAAAATAATCTGAGTTCTCTAACGACACTGAGTTTCTGACAGCTTGTCGAGATATTTTTCTTTAAACTGAAGCCTTTTATTGACATAGAAACTCTCCAACAGATGAACTCTCTGTGTCTCCATCATGGCTGAGTCCTGGAGCCTCAGTGACTCTGAGCTGTCAGGTTGAACCTTCACCTTCAGGAACCAGGTTCTTCTGGTATAAAGCTGTTCCTGATCCAACAAGGAGATCCTACAGCTATGAGCTGCTGCCTGGCAGCTCTGATGGGACTGATGAGAATTTCTACATTGTTCATGGACTCAATAATACAGCAGGTTATGTGTGTCAAGCAGGACGTGGAAAACCAAACTACAGAGATCCAAGTTTTGTCTTTTCAGCAGGTCAGTTTGTTTCAATGTGTCTCCTTTCAATGAGCAACTAATGATCTGTTTACATTGTTCCTACTCAGCCATGCACTTTATCTTTAGCAGTAATTTAATTACATTGATTTATTATCAAAGTAAAGAAGAAATGTCAAAGTTTTTATCTTGATTTTCATACATTGTTGAATTTTAAATCCAAAACAGCAATAAAAACATAAAATGAAAAAGTGAAAAGTAAAAGTTTTGGTGCTTTTGACAAAAACAGGCCACCTCCAAAATCACTCATAAACTGCAGTTTGTGTCTTTTGAGACAAGTTTTGTTGAAGACATTTTATATGATTAGTTTTTTGCTATGATAGGATTAATATTTGACTTAAGACAGTAAATCTGTTTTCAGCTTTATTCTAGATTAAATGTCTTTCTATATTAAATTTTAGATCCTGGTCCAGCAGCTTCTCTCAGTGAATCCTGACAGAGTTCAACACTTCAGATTGACTCTGTGTCTCTGAGCTGTGATGGAAACTTTACTGAGTGGAGAGTGATGAGGTTTACAGAAAGAAAGTCACTATCAGATTGCTCCATCTGGGGGAAAATGAATGGATCTACATGTGTGGTCAGCCTCTTGTCTTATAGTGGAGTTTTCTGGTGTGAGTCTGGATCAGGAGAGTTCAGCAATGCAGTCAACATCTCTGCACCTGGTAGGTTATGATTTATAAAACTTTTCTTTCAGATTCTTATTTATTGCAAACATGTCATTCATATACACTGCAGAATGTTACTGTTGGTTCCTCATGACTAAAACTCTATATTCATGAATTACTAATTTTTCACCACAACAAAAATACAATTTACCTTTTAAATTAAAGTAATAATCATAACATAAAATTAAATGATGATTTTGATGATTGCATGTAAACATTTACTTCAACTTATGGATTCTTTATGAGACTGGAGGTTCTATGTTTTACTTCATGACAGCCAAATTCGGTTGTTTTTAAATGCTTTAAATGCACAAGATCATTTGTAAGTGATTATTTATAAGTTAATTTTTAAACATCCACTGCAGATCATTTGTCTGAAATTGAAATATGTTATATAATATATATGTGACGCCTTTTCTTTTTCAGAAATATTTATGTAAATATAAAATATTTTTCTTAATGACAGCTGAATCTTTGAAACACATTAATGTCTGAAATTCAAATTTAATTTGACTGTTTTACAGACTGTTTTTGGAATAATACAATCCTGGTGAGCCCTGTTCATCCTGTGACTGAAGGAGATCCTGTTACTCTGAGCTGCAGAGATAAAACACAACAATTTCTCTCCAATGTGTTTTTCTATCACAATGATAAACTCATCAATTATGATGGCAGAGATGAGCTGAATATCTCTGCAGTGTCAAAGTCAGATGAAGGTTTCTACAAATGTAAACATTCAGGAAAAGAGTCACCAAGGAGCTGGATGTCTGTTAGAGGTGAGGAGGATTTTAAAAACTTCAGGTTTTAAAACCTGAAAGAAAACTAAATGGGTTTTTGAAACCATGTAGTAGTTCGAAGAGGAAATTTTGGATCTTTTTGAGGATGTAATGCAGATTTTCTTTCCCTGCTCAAGCCTAAAGTCACATTTATTAACAATTATTCCTTTTTAATGTTTCTCATTTCCAGTAACTGCACCCCATCCTGTCAGCTCTTCATTTCCTGTGCTGTTGATCGTTGGACCAGTTGTTGGATTTGTTCTCGTTATTCTGCTGCTGTTGTTGTGCTGCTGCAGACGGTGCAAAGGTGACGCCTTTTCCTTTTCAGAAGTATATTATTGATCCATTGTTTTTAAAAAAGAGAGATGAGGTGAGAGAAATGACTGCAGATGCAAATTAGCCGACCGTTAAATCCCTAAATCATTCAGATAATGAACTTAAACAACTCTGTTACTTAATATGCATTGTTGCTTATGAATAATAATTTTAAAAAATGGAATAATGTGATATAAAATATATATTTTCACAGGTTTATGGTGCATCAGGTCAGTGCAGCATGGTTTTATTTCCTTTAAACTACAATTTTCAAACTGTCATCAATTTAACTGCATGTATGATGTTTCAGATCGAAGCAGTCAGAGGGCAGAGGTCAAACCTCAAACACCAGCGATGCTGCAGATCATGAGCACAGGTCTCCTCCTCATGGTCAGAGCTTCAATGTTTGGGTTTAGTCTTTGAGATTCCCTGCTTCTAATCACATTAACATAACTAATGATGGTTTTTAAGCGTCTCCTTCATCCGAGTTTATTAAAATTCACCAGTATGTAACATCAATGCCAGACAGAAATTTTCATACAATCACGATTTGCACGAATGTCATTGATTTTGTGTTTTTAATGCTGCAGTTTCACTTCACTTTTGATGATGCGCTATGAAAATTGGTCTTAAATTGATTGTGGATCTTCTCACTGATCCACAATCAACACCACATGTGTAGTTTGACACGTATCCAGCTGATTGAAATTTGGAGAAATGTCCTCCAGTAAGTAGGAGAGAAGCTAAGAGTTTGAAGTTTGCAGCCGGCGTCACGATGGCTGGGTAGCTGATTGTTTTTAAAATGGTAAAAACGAAAATTGCTGATATTCATCCTAATTTGTTGGTTTCCTGGAATAAAGTCCATATTTTAAGAAAATGTGCTTTGAAGCATGAGCAGATGGTCCTAACTCAGATTTGCTGCTGCTCCTTTGCTTTAGGAACAGAACATATTACACAGCTCAAAAAACAGAGGCGTGCTTTTCTCCTTACAAACTCAAACATTTACTGTAACAAGCGATTAAAACATCGAGCTACTTTTCTTTGAATGTGTAGTAATATTAACATTTAAAACTATTGTTTCCACAACTCTTCTTCTATTTGTTTTCCCTCGGAAACAGCATGCGTGTCTCTACCAGTTATTGCTAAAGTAAAGCCATTTATCTAACTTGTGTACATTTTCATCCCTCCCATCAATTTTTTAATCATATTTAGACTTGGCGATGGCTGCAAAAGCTTTAGCAAAAGTTGCTGAATGACATTTAGCCACTAAATTCCACTTGTTCTACCAATTCTCCTCTGAAACGTGTCACAGGAATGTGTTCTTCAAGTATTATTATCTACATAAAAGCACACAAAACATTTCCCCTGTTTTGCTGCAGATAACGCCAATCCCTATGCGTCGGTCAAGACCTCTGAAGCGACAGGAAATGGTGAAGTATATCTTTGAAGCACGGCAGATACAAAAGTTAAAGTCTGATCTGCCGTGACTCGTCTAATATCATCAAATGTTTCAGCTGCGGATGAGTCCACAGAGGTCACGTACTCTCGCATTGAGCTGAAAGACATTGACAGGACGAGTGAGTTCCAGGCACGTTTAATGTGCAACGGGAGAAAACAGCTGAGTGGTTTCAACCTTGTTGTCGTTGTGCCCAATCTAACAGGGAGGCCTCGCGAAGCAGAGGAGGGCGCCGTTACTCCGAGGTGAAGTTGCAGCAGTAGAATGAGGATAAACTGAAAGGTAATATTTGATTTTGTGATGCCGGAAAGACAAAATCATAACAGCGATTTAAGGTTTACTGTCAACACATGGGTCCGGGCACCATTTAATATGAAAGTGAAAAATTGGGTTTGAGCTGGCTGAGATTCAGATTTCAGTATGTGACGGGTTTAGTCGAGTTGGTCGCAGTTACCAAAGATTTGGTCATAGAGTTCATGAGAATCTCATACTGGCCGCTTGCTTAATTGAGATCGATGAATAGAATAAATCCAAGAGAAAAATGAAAGGTTAAGAATATGTGTGCATTCATCTTTATTCGTCAAGGTCAAGAGTTTTTATCTTGAAAAATTGTACAGTGACGAATCTGTGGAAAGATTTCAGATCCTTTTCATTCTGTAGCTGAACGTTTGACACAGATCTTCTTTTCATTTCCAGACCAGAGGAGTCCTGCAGCAGCAGATTCAGTGGTTTTATTCTGAAGTCAGATCAGGATACCAACACTGCCACGTAAGACGCATGATCTGACGTCCTCTTCTAAAAGTTATGACGAGTTAAAACACATCACATCCTTCAAAATCCCACTTTTCCCACATGTTCCTGTTAGGAATCCGTTAGGGAAGCTGCTTTATGAGATTACTGCAAGAGCTGAAATGCTTGTTCTTAAATTCATTGAGATTTATTTGTATTTGCTGATGTACAATTTGACGTAGAGCAACCTTTCTTTAAGCTGATCGTTTTTCTTGTATTCTGTTGCAAAAGGTAGCAAAGAAAGAAAATGCGAAACATGTACATTTTTTGTTGAGTTTTTGTTTCACAATGTTTTCAAACGCATTAGTTGTCACTATAAGCTCTGTTTCTTTTTCAAATTTTGATAAAGTTGGTGTTTTCATATTTTCATAGTTTGTCTTTTTATGCTGCTGTGGTCTGTGCAGCGTTTTCATTTGCTACTGTATTACACTGGTAGTGTAGCAGTTATCCAATTGTATAGTCAGCTTTGCGTTTAAAATGTGATAACTTTATTGTTTTTCTAATGCACGAGTCTTAAATCAAACGGATTGTGAAGTAAGCTCTGTCAACATCCATAATTAAGTTTGAATGCATGAAGTAAGTGATTTGTTGGATTTTTCTGAAGGGTTTTATGTTGTCAGGAGTGATGGGGAAATGAGGCGTCATGAAGCGTTTCGACCCAAAGCAAAATTGTATTGATACTGTGTGACTCAATACTGACACCTGCTGGACATTAAAAACCCCTACAGGCAACATAGTTGACAGGCTGATTTGATGATCTAGTTTAATACAATAAGATTTAAGACATTGTATTTTATTGTATTGTTTTCATAAAAAAAAAAAAGTTTTTCCAAGATTTGAATTTAGTCTGTTACACTTTTTTGACAACTTCTGCTGTAGTAAACAATACATTTATATGAAATCATTTATAAAAAAAGCAACAGTAATTTGTAGAATGGCTGTATATGTGAGTTTATCCTTGGTGCATCTGGATTCATTCTGATGCCTGTAATGCCTCAGCATTGAGGAGGTGGATTTATTTAAATAAGACAGTTCTGTCAAACATATGCAACTCATAACCTGCAGAACATAATATGAACGTGAACTAAGAGTCAATTTCAGCTGAATTTGGATTCAGATAGCTCAAGCAGAAACTGAAAAGAACTGAATGAAACAGCAAAAAACTGAGAACCAACACCTTATTGTCTGATGTAAGATCAAAATGGCCCAAAACTACAAAAACTTTCATTTGCCTTGAGGCTCCATGTAGACGCTGTACTTTAAAAGATCAAATTATTTTGGCAAATGCATCCTGTTGACAAATTCGCTTCCTTATAAACACAGTTTGGCGGCAGTGTCATTTATTAAAGTTTCTTTATCGATTACATGACTTGCTTAATGCAATACGCGCACCGACACTGGGCTTTGTCTAGACGCTTGATGCATGCGCAGACACAATGCCGGACTCATCACTAGTCAGTCATCTGATTGAGAGTTTGATCTCAGACTTTATTTATAACTTTATTTTACAGCAAAGTGCAATGGATTTTATTTAATAACAGTTCACAGTTTAACTTCTAGAAAAATCAACCAATTTAAATTAGTTCCTCCCAGTTTAAAAGCAGCCAGTAGTCCTTTATCAGCTGCTAAATGCATGTGATTGTTTGCTAAAATACATGCATTAAATATTTGTTTGGTATATATTTGACGTAGAAAAAGGTATTTTTGTAGATTTCCCCCCCAAGAATGGTCCATTTCATTTTGTGTCATTTCAGAATCAAGTCAACTTCTGAAAATGATTCAAATACTGAACCACTGAAATCATGAGCAATCAGGCAGTACATACAAATAGGAAGTTAAAGTACTTAAGTCAATCAAATGGTTTAATACTCAACTGATTTTAAAAAATAAAATAAACTGCACAACATTGAATCACTTCAATGAACTTTATTTAGACAGTGCTTATTCACAACAAAGTCATCTCAAAGCACTGTACAAAAAAAAAAAAAAGCAAACGAGTGCAATTCAAATCCTGCTGGATCTGTTCGTCATTTTCACTCTAACAACGATGTGATAACCTATTACATTTGAACACTGAAGTAAGCAAGATGTATGTGACGTTTATAAAATATTGTACACCAAAATTTAATAAATGAAACTGCATCATGAAGGTAAAATTGTCAATCTGAAAAAAAAAAAACTCAATGATTTTGGTTGTTAAATGAAATTATTTAGCTTTTTTCTTCAAATAAATTTGGCCGATTTATAGATTTTTATGGTGGTCCACACGTTGATGGAGATGAGTGGTAATTTATTGTAAAACAAAAGAAAACTGGGCTTCACTTTTATCAAATATACAACTACTGGCCCAAAAGTGTCAATGAAATTTGTACATCTGACCACATTTTATCAAAAGGTCGCATAAATCTGCAATCTTTGATTGATGGGCAGAAAAAAAAAAAAAAAAAAGAAAATGCACAATTCAACATCTGGGGATAAATTTCTAACTTTATGCCCACATTATATGTGGTGCTCCACGAACCATGATTACAATGTGAGCAAATTATTTGGCTGGGCAGTGTGCGTCACCAAATCTGAGAGGTGAGAAGTAAACTTTTATGAGAGGAACTTTAAATGTTCACAATTTTAGCTGGAATTGTACAATGAAAGTCCCACATGATTCCAAATGTAGTTGTTTTTATCATAAGGTATAAGTGTACGTAAAAAAAAATGTTTAACACGTCAGCTTACATCGTATAAATCAAGTAAATCCACATGCCAAGAGATTGAATAGATGTCAACAAGAAATGATGGATAATACTTGTTAAAGCGGCAGATAAACATAAATACGATCTATGAAATGTTTACAAACTCCACTTTTACTCCATCGACAGCTGATCTGAAGCCTGCACCATGAAGCAAGATTAGTGACTTTGCAAAGTAAGCTCGGTGTTTTTGGTATCAGGAAGCCGGTTCTTCTCATCTGGGTTTATCGCCATTGTGACCAATTATGGAAATGCCGGATTGGGTTACTAGATTAGAGATCAACACATCTTAAAGGGATGATTTTGCTAGAGCCAGACAGCTTTTCAAGGATTTAACTTTAGTTAAGGTTCTTTAATAAATTCTCAAAGTATTTCCCGAACAAATGTGCATGGGGACAAAATGTACCATAATGGTGTCCTACTGTCATTTTAAAAAAATTTACACTTACTAAAAACTTATTCAGGACAGTGAAACACTTTAGAGCCAAATTATTTCTTACAAATATTTTTGACCTAAGTTATGTTTACCGGTAAAATGCTTGATATCTGGAAATTATGAAACAATAAAATATTTTATGATTGTGTTTGGTTCACTGGTTCCAGCTCCATCGCGTTTCACAATCAGAAAGCCTGGACAAAGTAAAAGCTTCCTAATGGTCTGTAATCTGCCGCACTTTGCGATATTTGGCTTTGGTTCAGCCAGACGCGTTAAAGTTTCTTTAATCGAAGCTGCTTCACGGCACAGGACTCAGCTCCGCCTTCTTCTCTGTCAGAACTCCTTGATTGTCATCATCAAAGTACTGATTTGTTATCAGAGGTTTTTTTTATTGCTTTCACAGTGACCCCAGTGTTCACCTCCCACGTATCAATAAAGCTGCAGGTGGTTCATAAAATTCTCTTTAAATGTTTGCTACGCTAAAAGAGTCTCGTTCAGTTTGCAGCTGCAGTAGTAGAGCTGGCTGGCTGTTGCATCACGTTGAAGACTGGCTGACATCATCACTGGTACGTTCTCTACCTCCACATGCCTTTGGCATCTTCGCAAGCCTCCCTGACCTCTGCACCTGAGAGATTAGAGTTTCTCTGGCAACTCTCCGACAACATTGTGAGGTGACGCAAACAACTTGCATTCAGTAAATCTGTCATCATCACCAGAGTAGTGCAGAAAACAAGCACACGTGTGCTTTAGATGTTTGCGTTTGTATAAATCTGTGTGTGTGTGTGTGTGTGTGTGTGCTTGCTACCTGTGTCTGATGGGTTGCATATTTGGATTCGAATGTTTTATATCACTGATGTGTACGTGTCTGAAGAACTTGATGCTTTGTGCTGATGTGTTATGGTGTGTGTCTGGTGTGTTGTGCCAGGGTGTGTAGTGTTTTCTGTGTGTCAGTGTTCGTTGGGCATGTGTCTGATGGTGTGGAAGATCCAGTCCATCTTGGTGCTCCATCCTCCGTGATGAGCATCATTCATCTGTTTTGTGAAGTACTCCAGCGCCTCCTGCTGGCTCTTTTCTGGGGGAAAGAAAACATGGTGAGACGGCAGAATCTACAGTTTTACAGTGGTGTGTGGTCTAGTTTCTTCTAGTTTTCTGCGTTTTGGATTTGTGCACTAGAAGAACCTTTTGTTTTTCAGTCAAAGTTGTTTTTACACTTATCTGTTGACTTCTCTGTTTATATTAGAACAGAAAATCTGACCAATAAGGAAGCTTACACAACTGGATTTGGCAGACATCTCAACAAATACAAGGTGGTTGAGTAAAAGGTAAAGCCAACTACTTTCATTTGTATTAAAAATGATCATCTCTATCCTGAAAGGCCAGAAAGAGCCATCAAAAACATTGCGACCTTAAAGCTAGTTGTTATGCCCAAAGCATTTCTCTAAGAAAAAAAATATGACAACTTTCAAGACCAGGGAGTTGTGTGCACAACACACCTTCAGTTCTGTGGTCTATGCGATGAACTTCAGTGTTGTTCAAACTAGATTTTCAGAAGACTTTTCAATAAGGTCCTTGTCAAAGTTACCCAAAACTTAACCCAACCTCACCTTAGGATCCCTTCATCAGTCCGAGTTCTGGAAGACATTTCTTCTAGGACCAACATCAACAAAACTCTAGATTAAGTAGAGTGGGACGTCGTCCTGAGTGGTCTAAAAATCTACTTTCCACAAATTCATCATCAACCCACCACCTGGATCGGCTCCAATAGTGTGACCCTGATCTGTCAATCTCAGGAAATTTAAGGCGGCCTGGTTCTCGGTCCAAGGTTACTTTGGTCAGCAGCTGAATTATCCTGAACTGAACCATTCAAAATGTTTCCAAATGCAACATTTACATTTTCTCCAACACTTCTGATCAACCTTCATCGTTTCTACTTTCCTCTACTGATATGCTCACTTTCAACCTCCGTTTATTTCGTCATTGTTCCCCGTCTTCTCTTTCACAAATCTATTCTCCAGTTTTACCTAATGCAAGGGTCTTCCTCAGATAGGCGATGTCATCAAAGCTCTGCAGTTCCGGCATGCCGCAGCCCAGCATGAGGGAGAAGAGGTTGATGAAGAGGCTGGCGTGCTGCCGGATGGCCAGGTAAGCTTTGTAGCACATCTCCTGGAACCTGCATCACAGAC